GGAAAAATTGTTTGGATACAAGAATAATAACTTAAAATAAACCGATGGTTTAGAAAACTTCCGTTTTCCATCTCTTAAAAATCTGCAAAAAAAAAACTTAACATAATCTAACGATAATTCCAAATCAATAGAATATGCTTTTTGGATTTTCGGGTTTTTATAGACAAGTTCGGGTTTGGGTGAAAATCTGAGACATAATTTTATAGAGATATATATAGAGATATAGAAATTGTTCGGGTTTCTTTGAAAATTTCTGTTCGGGTTAGGTTCAATTTTTTTTTCAGTTTAGGGTTTTCCGGATTTTTTAGATTTCTGGTTTTCGGGTTTAGATATATTAAAAAAATTGAGTATTTTAAAATTTTGATTAGGTATTGGGGTCGGGTTCCGGGTGAAAAAGTTTCCAGATTTTTTTTGTTCAGTCAGGGTTTTCGGGATTTTTTTGATTTCGGATTTTCATGTTTAGACCTATTAAAAAAGTTTGGGTTTTTAAATTTTTTGATTAGGGTTTTTTGTCGGGTTCGGATTTAGGGTTTAAATTTTCTACACAAAACAACAACGTCACACCGCACAAACGTGCGGGTACTCTGCTAGTAATAATACTAAATTAGGGATGAGATTTCTTTCCTCAATGGGACTATAGTAAAACCCCATGATTTTTTTTCCTATATTTTGACTTTAGGAGATATTTCATTCCTAAAGAGTTGGATTGAATTTTTTTTTCTTTTCTTCCTATTTTGTTTTGGCAATTCGTACATTTTATGGAAATACTAGATATAATTTGTTTTCATTTTCATTTCTTTTTGTTAACTGAATTTCAATTTTTTTAAAAAGGCACCCGCTGCTACAATTTGCGTCTCCCTCTCAGTTCACACCTTTATCCTCTCCACTCTCCACCCTTAAATACAAGAACCACAATTCTCTCGAATCTCATCATCTCTCAAACACATTTCTCGATCCATATCTCTCTCTTTGTTCCTATCACTATGGCGCAGGTTCCATGCGATGCCGAGGGTGTGTGCATGAGATGCAAGACGACTCCTCCGACGGAGGAATCTCTCATGTGCGGCACTTGCGCTTCGCCTTGGCATGCTTCATGTCTCTCCTCTCTTCCGGAAACGCTCGCTTCTACTCTACAGTGGGAGTGCCCCGATTGTTCCGGAGAAGATGATTCTCTTCCGGTTGCATCCAACGATGGATCGGGAGTTGTGGCGGCCATTCACGCCATTGAGGCTGACATGACTCTGACTGACGCGGATAAGGCCAAGAAGAAGCAGGAGATGATGGGCGGTAATATCGTTGTGGACGAAGAAGAAGAGAAAAAGGATAAAGGACTCGGAGATGATGATGTCTTGGCCACGCTTGGAGAAAACCTGACTTGCGTTTTCTGTTTTGAGTTGCCTGATAGGCCCGTCATGGTTTGTCCTTTATCTCTCGTTCTCTCTTTTGCTTGTTCATATAATCTGTTTTCATGGATTCAATAGCTAGGGGTTTTGTTGTTCTTTGGTGAACCTCTTGAATACCGAATTTTGTTGTTTTTTAATTATCTAGGTTATCTAGGTTCTCATGTTAGTGTTTTTTATATCTAGATCTCGCTGTTCTTAAGAAACTACAAATCCAGTTATTAGAATCGTACGTTGTTAATGTAACCTGTTTTTGTTTACACGTTTTGGTTGGATTAATTTTTCATGTTGTTGAAAATTGTTAGGCAACTTAATTTCTGTAAATGATTGTGTATAAGTAAGTATACACTTTTGTTGATATGGTTAATCAATTTAGTATTGGTTTTCGGTTGCAGTTAATTTGTGGTCTCCTTTTTTTTTTTTTTTGAATTTATCTTTGACAATGATAAACCATTAAGTGCTACGTATTTGATGTCGTGAACTTTAACTAAGTGGGAAGACTTTTACGTTATAACTTTTTTCTTCCCTTACTTTGAAAAATTTGAAGACTAGTAAAGATGTTGATGGATATCTTGTATGTGTATTTTTTTTCAGGCACCATGTGGGCACAATTTCTGCCTGAAATGCTTTGGGAAATGGACTATTGGTCAAGGCAAACGTACTTGTGCAGAATGCCGCAAAGTGATTCCTCTCAGAATGGTCAGAAACCCTCGGATCAACTCTGCCTTAGTCTCTGCCATTCGTTTGGCCAAAGCTCCTAAACCTGCTGCTGCTGGTGCTCCAAAGGTTCATCATTTCGTAAGAAATGAAGACCGGCCTGACAAAGCTTTCAGAACCGAGCGCGCGGTGAGAAATGGGATTTCAAATGCTTCATGCGGCAAGATATTTGTGACAATACCATCCAACCACTTTGGTCCTATACCAGCTGAGAATGATCCCAGAAGAAACCAAGGTGTTTTAGTTGGCGAAACCTAGAACAATAGGTTGGACTGTAAACAGTGGGGGGCTCACTCTGAGCACATGGCTGGAATTGCTGGACAGTCAAAGTATGGAGCTCAGTCTGTGGCACTCTCTAGAGGTTATGAGGACGACGACGATCATGGAGAATGGTTTCTATACACAGGAAGGTTTTATTTTCATCACTCTTCTTGCTTTTAGTTCTTACTACACGTTTTCTATCACTCATGCATACGTATAGATGTAGCGACATTAGACAATGTAGTGATAAGACTTGCTCTTGAATATGTGTCACACAGTGGAGGAAGAGATATGAGCGGCAACAAAAGGACTAACAAGGAGCAAACGTTTGACCAGAAGTTTGCAAACGCAAATGAAGCTTTAAGATTAAGTTGCAAAATGGGTTATCCTGTTCGTGTTGTCAGGTTAGTTTTTCTATGAGCAAAAGTCCATTGCTTTGAATTAGAATTTTGAACCAGAAACTATAAGCAGAAAGTGATACTAATCAAATCAAATTAAATTCCTTCCTTCATAAATAACTATCAGGTCTGAAAAGAAGTGTACTGCATATGCCTCTGCGAAAGGAGTAAGATATGATGGAGTTTACAGGATTGAGAAGTGCTGGCGAAAAGTTGGAAAACAGGTACAACATCTAACTAAGCTTTTTTTTTTTTTAATACAGATATTGATTGTTCTTTTTTTTATATCTAACATGTTGTTCTTTTTTTTTTTAATCTTTTCCATAGGGTGTTTTTAAGATGTGTCGTTACCTGTTTGTGAGATGTGACAATGAGGCAGCTCCATGGACCAGGTTTGATTTAACTTCTCTTGAGGAAGCGCTTTTTTCAAACATATTCTATAATTCAGAGTTTAAGTAAGCTATGTATATGTACAATGTAGTGATGAGCATGGAGATCGTCCAAGATCTTTGCCTAATATTCCAGAGCTTGAGATGGCAACAGACTTGTTTGAGAGAAGGGTTTAGTGATCAGATTTCAAATTTTCATCTCCTGGTTCTCATTATATGTAATATCTTCCGTGTACACTTACTTGAACAGGAAAGTGATGGTCGATGGAAATGGATGAAGCCTCCACCAGCTAGCCAAAAGGCACTTAATGCTTTGGACCCTAATGAGAGAAAAAGTCTGAGGAAAGCCAGAAGTTCAACACAGACCGTGAGAGAGAAACTTCTAAAAGGTTTGAGTCTTCAGCACTCTTTCCCAAAAAGTGTTAACCTAATTCAGAAAGTTAATATTGATAATCATATTTAATTAGATTCTTGTTTTTGTTTTTGGTGTAATGCAGAATTTAGCTGCCAAATCTGTAGGCAAGTGATGAGTCTTCCTGTGACAACGCCTTGTGCTCACAACTTCTGCAAGCCATGCATAGAAGGCAGATTTGTTGGGCAAACTGTAATGACAGAAAGAAGCAAAGGTGGACGCACCCTTCGTGCAAGGAAGACCATCATGAACTGTCCTTGTTGTCCCACTGACATTTCTGACTTTCTCCAAAACCCTCAGGTCAACATCATCATCTCTTCTTTCATATACTCTTATGTAGTTAATATTATTGCCATCGTATTCTAAAACTTAGTTGTGTGGAAACAGGTGAATAGAGATATAATGGCGGTGATAGAGAAGCTGGCGGTGAAGAACAAGGAAGAGGACAAAGCAGAGCTTGTTAATGCATCAGATGAAGAAGGTGCAAGCACAAGTGTAGATGAAAACTCTGGCATTACCGAAGAAGCTGAAGAAGAAACATTGGTCGTCGCTGAAGAAGTTGATGAACAGCCGAGGAAAAGGATTAAACTGGACACTGACACACTAGTTTCTTCTGAGACTGTGGTGTAATCTTGGCTTGGAGGAAAAGACCAAACTAAACCTATCCAATGGCTTCCTCTTCTTCTTTTTCTGTTGTACCAAAATGGTTGTTGTTTTTGTGATAGGATATCACTTATCTATTTCGGTTTATGTTATCTCTTTCGGTCTTTGTTCTTCGCTATATCTCAAGTTCTCAACTGTTCATCATCTTTCATCATCAGCCACATGTAAGTGTCTTGATCCAGTCTCGCACACTTGCTGCTCTCCTCCTTCTATCGCTTTTCCTTTGCAACATATTTTCATCTTTGTTTCTGCGTTAGCCTTTTTAGGACTCGGTATTTACTTGTCACTCAAGTTAGCAGAAGCAGTTGTTTGTGATTCGACTTCTTTAGGAACTAAATCTGGATTGTGTGCCAAGAACCGAGTTAACAATACAATATCTTCTATTTCCGCATAAAATTAATAATATATATATATATAACTTCTCGTTTGATCGTCTTGCTTATTGGCTAATAACTTCTTATTTTCTTTTGAACAAAATAAAAGGTTCTTATTTTCTTATCTTAGGTTGTCACGTTGTATTTCCTTTAAATTTTTGTTTTCGTGAAAGAGTTTGCTTATAATAATTTAAAATTGAGTTTACAGAAGAGTAAATAGAAACCAACTCGACATGAAGCTGAGCGATTTCACAACAAACGGTGAGGTACTTTCTTGTGCACAAGCCAATTCAGTCCCTTCTCTCCCGGAACTATTTCCTCCTTTAAGGTTTTGTGCGCGCATTATATAGGCACTGCTTAACTAGATTGATACACCTAGAGCAATTTAGCAAGAATACGTATAGGTGATGATTTGTCATTTGTTTTTTTTGTGTGTGTTAAAGGGTCTTCATGATTTGTCATTTTTTGTTGTAATATTAGCTTATGTCAACAAATATCTTTTAAAAAGGTGAGAGAAGAAGCATTTAAAAATTGGAAAGTAAATGTAGTGAAAGAGATAATCAAGGACTTTAAAAATATATTGTTTAGGACAAGTCACATGAGGATCTTAAACGAAGCACTTTATGGTGTTGTGCAACGTTTATAGACTTAGGTGTTGATTTGGTTCACCCTCTACTACCCGCAAACGCAGCGTTTGCGGGTAGTAGCGGTTATTGGCGTTTGACAACAATCACCACAAACGCTTTATAGCTTAAAATCGCTTAAGATCCCTCAAAATCAAAAGCTCCTTCCAGCAGCGTTTGCGGTTGCGGGTGGATAATTAAAAAAAAAAAAAAAAAACACAAACTTATATAAAATCCGAAAATAAATAATAATCTTTATTAAAAAATAAGATTTGGATAATAAAATCACAATATAAATAAAAAATTAGTACTTTTAGTCAATATTCATTAAAATCATATCATACTTATATATTTATAAGTTCTACAAATCAAAATTCTCTTGATAAATATTCTTTTCATACTAATACATATATATCTAATAAATAAAATTGTAATATAAATTTAATTTTCACATTAAATATATATTTTGAAAATAAAATCACATTTTTTATTTAAATTATAGAAATTAAAAGATAGACGTAAGTATTATACACATATTATTCTTTATAAAAAAATTTTTTTAATTATGTTGAACCATAAATTTAAAATTTTCATTATAATATAGTTTTGATATTTTTATAATTATATAATGTGTTTATATTATTAATTTATTGTTTAACCGCTATTGCATCCGCAAGTGAACCAGTCATAAGTATCCCGCAAACGCATCCATTTTCAATTGTTATGCCAGTCGTACAAACCGCTTAATAACGCTACTAATCACAACCGCCCGCTTCCGCAAACTCCCGCACCCGCAACCGCAACCGCAGCAGTTAAACCAGTCAGGCTTTTAATGGAGTTTATAAAATGATCTAAACGAATTACTTAATCACTAACAGTGAGTGATCAAGCCACAAAAAAATATACGGATGACCTAGCACAATGTCAAATAATAATATTAAGTTAGGAAATGATGATTATACCAAAAGCTAATAAAAAGTAAAAAATTACAGTTGGAGTTGGCGAGATATCTTTCCTAACCGGTATTGTTTCTCTTCCCTATATTTTGACTTTAGGAGAAATTTTATTCCTAATGAGTTGATTTGGTTTTATCTTGTTCTCCGATTTGTTTCTGTCAATTTGTCCATTTTATGGAAATACAGGTAATTTTTGTTTTAATTTTCATTTCTTTTTGTTGACTGAAATTCAATTTTTTCAAAAGCTCTCAATTCACCCTAGATCCTCTCCTCTCTCCACCCTTAAATACAAGCACCATAACTCTCTCAAATCTCATCCTAGATCCTCTCCTCCGTCCCTCCCTCAACTTACACAGGTTGTTGCTCGTTGCCATTAGCAGCAGCTTGAGAGGTGGATGCTTCTGCTGCTATTGCTTGTGCTTTCTCGAGGAAGATATTGCATTTGTTGATGGTCTTGCCGCTGACTAGACCATCCTTTATGGTTGGACTGTTTAAGGATGGTCTAGTCAGCGGCAAGACCATCAACAAATGCAATATCTTCCTCGAGAAAGCACAAGCACTAGCAGCAGAAGCATCCGCCTCTCAAGCCGCTGCTAATGGCAACCAGCAACAACCTGTGGAAGTTGAAGTTGATGGAGGAAAACAGCAACCATAGCGATCGTTGAGGTCTTCTTCTCTATATATAGTAGACATCATTTATCTTTTACATTCCAATGGCTTCTTCTTTTTCTTTTCCTTTCTATTGAACCAAAATGTTTATTGTTTTGTGATATGATATCACTTATCTATCTCGGTTTATATTATCTTTTTCGGTTTTTAATTAATTTTGGTGTTTGTACCTTTTAAACATTCTATGTAAGGCAGTTTGCCAATTTGGGGAAAGTTAATAAAAGTATTATATTATTCAGCATCTCTCTCGCTCTCTCTCTCTCTCTCTCTCTCTCTCTCTCTCTCTCTCTCTCTCTCTCTCTCTCTCTCTCTCTCTCTCTCTCTCTCTCTCAATTGTTCATCATCAGCCTGATGTAGTGATGTGATCCTCCAACCAACATATTCTATCTTTTGTTCTGACAAAATTTGATATCAGAAAAACTTCCCTCTTGTCCGCTGATGAAGGTTTGTGAGACAAGATTTATGATCATGTCACGTATGGTTTACATTATTGTCCAAATACTCTGAAAGAAATTTATTGATGATTATCAAGTTTAAATCACCAAGACTTAACATTTAAACATAAAAAAAATTCACCAAGACAAGCTGGTTTAGATTATGCGATCGATTAATACCAAACCAAACAAAACTGAGATTAACTAGTTAACTTTCACCTGACACACAACAAACAGTGAGGTACTTTCTTGTGCACCAGCCAATTCAGTCCGGAACTATTTCCTCTTTTAAGGTTTTGTTGAGAATACGCATAGGTGATGCTTTTTTTTTTTTTTTAATTTTGTTGTAATATTATATTCTCTGAACAAATTTCTCGTAAAAAGGTGAGAGAAGAAGCAAAAAAAATTGGAATGTAAATGCAGTGAGAGAGATTATCAAGGACCTTAAACGAAGCACTTAATCACTAACAGTAACACAATGTCAAATCTATATAATTGAAAGTGCTTGTGATACTCTCCAGCTGATCACACCTCAGCACCTCCAGAGAATGCCATGTCATCTTTTTTTTTAACTCCCGTCTGACTTCAAAACGACGTCGTTTTTGAATTTAGCTTTTTTTCGTTGACAAAACGACGTCGTGTCCGCCCAGATCGTGCTACTCGTGACACCGTACACGTCACTAGCTTCCGGCGAGACTGTCCGCATCCCTCTCTCCGCCGTTTCAGCTGTTCAATGACCGCCATTAACTCCGCCAGTTACGTCTCCTACGTTCCGATTGCCCGCTGCCTCTATAAAAAATCCTTCCTCTCGCTGTCACCCAATTTTGTCTAAAGTCTCAAAACTTCTGATTTCGCCGGACGACGAGGACCATTTGCAGCGACTCCTGCTCAAATTTCGCCGGACAGTTTATCCGGCTAGGGCTCCTCTCCGCAGTGCGCTTTACGTCGCTCAGAAGAAGAAGAAACTCATTGACCTCTACGAGAAACTCTCTTGCGAAGCCTTCTCAAATGATCATATTGATTCCGCTCTCTCCTCTCTAAGAGTAAAACTCTCTCACTTGTTGAAATTTTGAATATAATCGTTTGTTTTTCAGTAACATTTCTCCATTTTCTTCACCGATTCCTGATAAACATTTCTCTGTTTGAACTTCCCGAGTCACGCGTTGCCATTAAACTATTCTTCTGCAGCTTTTCGCTTTCCCACTTCAGGTATCAGGTATGCTGTAATATTCCGCGATTTGTCGGTCATTGCTGCGTCGTAGCTTACCATTGCTGTTGCAGGAGGCTCTGTCAGTGTGATATCGACTTCAAGGAAAGATAGGAACGAGTGTCCTGAATCTCCTACAACAGGTATGTGTGAAATCACGCCAAGAAAAGCTTTAAAGTTTGTATCTTTTCCAGGACTGATGATTTATGTCAACCTCAGGGGAAGATTTGAGTGAGTCTGCTGAATCTTCAAACATTCCTACCACAGGTTTGTGTAACATGAAGCTAAGAAATGCTTTAAAGGTTGTACCTTTTTCGGTTTTCGTGCATTGATGCTCTGTAACTTCCTACTGGTGTTGCAGGTGAAGGTTTAGTTCCAGTGAAGGGAAAGCGAGATGAAGAAGAGACTCTGGGTTCTTGTCAATCATCTCAACCTGATTGGATTCGTCAGTACATGAGAAGACTTAAAGAGATACTCATAAAATAACGCTTTAAACAATTTTTTTACAAAAAAAGCCTAATATACTTTGATCTTAAGGCGCCAAAAAAAGAAAAAGACATTACATTGAATTTCATTTTTTTTTCAGGCGGAAATGGAATCTTCAGACGATGAGGAGGTAACTCAACTTTTTAGTATGTGAAGACTTTTACAGTTCTCTTGTGTGTTAGAGAATAATGTTACTTTTACAAAACTATGAAGCTGAATATTTTGGAAATATTTTATCAGTTTCTAAACCTCTTTTGTATTGATACATTGTTACTTAACGTAATAGGTATTTGGTCGAAGGCCTTTTGAAGAAATAGCCGAAGAATATTGTTTGCAAAGAGGAAGGGTGATAAAAGAAGACAGAAGCAAGGAGGCTTAGCCATTTGCAAGATCAAGCAAGAGTTACCTGATTCCCCTCCTGGCTTAGGTGACTCCTTGGTTGGTTCTCAGATTCGTCATCAAAGTAGAAGGTTCTGGCTCATTGGCTGACTCATTGATTTATTGTTTAAAACTTGGTGTTTTGACTTTGCAGCGGTTCTGGTGTTTCCATTTGAATTTCGTTGGTATAGCTTCCCCATTTACATGTTACTTTTTAAGCTCGCTTGCAGGAAGTGGAGCTGTGATTGCTCGCTCATCACACCCTTTAGTTGGTCTGATGCTGAACATGAGGAGGTATATAAAAGTTTGTTTTTCACGACCATTGTGCATGATAATTTAGTTTCTCATTTGGAATGTCAAAGTGCTTGAAGTGGCAAGTGGCGGATTCTGAAGTTTTTATATATTTTTCTCTTAAAGATGTGTCAACCAGCCAAACAGAAGCTTCTCAAGGTTTTACCCGAACAGTTTAGTGCTGTTGCACATTTGGTTTGTATAAACTTAAACTTGGCTTACTGACATTATTCTTGCTACCATTTAGTGTTAGAGCTTACTGATTAGAGATAGAGGCACTTAGAATCTAATATGCCTCTGTTTACAAAAGAATATACAATTGTCTAGCGAGTTATATAAGCATAATCAGGCTGCAGGTGCTTTAGGACGTGCTGTTTCATCTATCTTTCGTGTTCCAACAGAAGTAAGCTTCTTTCTTTGCTTATATGTTCTGTTTTGGTTACATTGTTGTGGGTGGTAGCTGAATTATGACGATAAGTACACAACAAAAGTGTAGTCTCCTTCAAACTAAACTTTCAACAAAACTATCATAGGTTAACTTTTGCTTCAGTACTTTTTTATATAATCCAAAGCTATCTGTTGCTTTGTTGATCGACTATTCATTTCATGGAATTCATCATTTATGTGGGTGGCTTTTCCCGAAAGGAAAGTTTTTTATATTAGTTTTATGGAATATTTAATTATTTACTCAGTCAACTATAAAGGAAAGCACTTGATGTTATCTTGTGGTGATTTGGTTTCTCTGTGTTTGGTTTACGAACTTTTCTACTGTAATTTACCTGTATGAACAAATTTTGATTGTGCAAATATGCTTCAAGACGTGTTTTCTCATTTTGCTTTTTTGGTCTCTTATTTTTTCAGGTATTGTCTCTTTTTCAAGCAATTGGAATGAGAAAAGAAATGGTGGGGACTTCATAAAGTGTTAATATGATTATGAGTATTCATGTTATAGTTTTTTCATCTAGAAGCAATATGTGAGCAGTCACCATCGTATGAAGCTGGAAAATACAAAGTAGTGAGAGGAGTGATATTTGTATGAAGACGATTATGATGATGACCTCAGTCAGAGGAAGATTTCTGCATCTACATGTCATCACAGGAGAAGTAAAATATTAAGAAGGTTTAGGGAAATGAAAGTTATAGTAATTTTTTCCTTATTTTTGGATGTAAAACAAAAGAAAGCTGTTTTCCTTTTGTTTGTTTGGAGCTTGTACCGTAGATAAAACCCCTAAAGTTGTGGGATCTGTAGCACTATAATTGTAAAGAAAGATTTATAAAACTTTAAACGGGGATTGTTATATCTAAGATAGCTCCTGCTTTGGTTTGTAATGGGTATAAGAAGATGTGTGATTGTTGTATAGTGTGCTATTCCAGTATTTATAATTGTATAGAGGCAAAGACGAGAAAATGATTTGTAGATTCTTTTTAATTTCTTTCACTTTGGTGATAATGACTTAGACTTGAGCTTTGCTCTTTCTTGCAGATGGAAAAGCGTTTCGATTTTAATCTGTTATGGAGTATCGTTAGGTTTCGCTCTTCTTAGACTTGTCTTCAGCTTACATATTTTTTCCTTAATTGTTGTTTGCTTTTTCATCAAGTTCTCCCTTAAACCAAGGAGCAAAAGCAACAACTGAACTCATTGATACTCCTCTTCGCCTATTGAGCATTCACCGTGATATTAAGGTTCAATCTTTTGTGTTTTTATCCTATGGCTAAGACGTACAAAAGTGAAACAAACATCATATCAACCCGTCATTTTTTTGTAACAAAGCTTATTACATTGTTATTTAAAAACAAAGAAAATGCAAACGCAGCAACAAAAAATGTGACAAACCGAAACAAAAGAAAAAACAAGTTAGGAAAGACACATTATTAATAATAATGTATTCTCACTTATCTTGTCTATGCATAATAGAATTTTCGTCTCCCTCTTTTTTTTTTTTTTTGGTTTTCGTCTACAATTCGTCTCCCTCTTAATTCACCCTAGATCCTCTCCTCTCTCCCACCCTTAAATACAAGAACCACAATTCTCTCCAATCTCATCATCTCTCAAACACCTTTTCTGTCCATATCTCTCTCTCTCTCTCTCTGATCATTTCTCTAAAACGGCGCAGGTTTCATGCGATGCCGACGGTGTGTGCATGAGATGCAAAGACGACTCCTCCGACGGAGGAATCTCTCATGTGCACCACTTGCGCTACGCCTTGGCATGCGTCATGTCTCTCCTCCCCTCCCGAGACTCTCGCTTTCACTTTACAGTGGGAGAAGTTGACTGTCTTCCGATTGCATCCAACGATGGATCAGATCTTGTCGCAGCCAAGACGCTCGGAGAAAACCTGTCTTGCGTTTTCTGCATTCAGTTGCCTGATAGGCCCGTCACGGTTTGTCCTATATCTCTCCTATGCTTGTTCATATAATCTGTTTTTCTTGAATTCAGTATCTAGGGTTTTTGTTATTGTTTGGTGAACCTCTTGAATACCAAATCTATATATTTTAGTTTTTTTTTAAGTTATCTAGGGTTTTCTGTTAGTTTGCTGAATCTGTAAATCGCGTATCTGTTTTATTTTTTATTTTTTTTATATCTAGATCTCGTTTTTATTTTGTGAAACTACAAATCCAGATATTAGAATATAATCGTCCCTTTTTGTCGTGTATACAGAATGCATGGACTTACTTGTGCAGCTGTGCTCACCATTTATATTAAAAAAAAAAGATGTCAATCGTTCCTTTACGTTGATAATGTAACCTGTTTTGTATACATATTTTGGTTGGATTAATTTATAAATTGTTAGGCAACTTAATTTCTGCAAATGAGTGTGTATATGTAAGCTTACACTTTTGCTTATATGGTTGATCAATTTTGTATTGGTTTTCGGTTGCAGTTTGTGGACTTTATTTTTATTTTTTATTTTTTATTTTTTAAATCATTTTTGACAATGATAAACCATTGAGTTTTGCCAAGTATTTGATATCGTGATCTTTACGTGATATAAGTGGCAAGACTTTTAAGTTAACTTTTTTTTCCTTCCTACTTTTTAATATGACTAAGTTTTGCAATAAAGACTAATAAAGAGAGCTGATGGATATCTTGTATGTGTATTTTTTTCAGGCACCATGTAGGCACAATTTCTGCCTGAAATGCGTTGGGAAATGGACTGTTGGTCAAGGCAAGCCTACTCTGCCCTTGTCTCTGCCATTCGTCTGGCCGAAGTACAATGAAAGAGAAGAGATGAAGGCAGAGAGCGGTCTCAGTCTTGACCGGAGTAGGGGAATGTAAAAGATAAATGATGTCTACTACATATAGAGAAGAAGAAGAAGCCATTGGATGCTTCTGCTGCTGCTGCTGCTTTTGCTTTCTTGAGGAAGATATTACATTTGTTGATGGTCTTGCTGCTGGCTAATGCACAATTTAGTCAGCGGCAAGACTATCACCAAATGCAATATATTCCTCGAGAAAGCACAAGCAGCAGCAGCAGCAGCAACAGAAACATCCACCTCTCAAGCTGCTGCTAATGGCAACGAGCATCAACCTATGGAAGTTGAAGTTGATGGAGAAAAACAGAAAGCACAAGCAGCAGCAAAAGCATCCACTGACTTCTTCTTCATCTCTTTCTATTGAACCAAAATTTTGTTGTTTTTGGGAGATGATATCACTTATCTATCTCGGTTAATTTATGTTATCTCTTTCGGTTTTTACTTTGGTTGTTTGTACTTTTAAACATTTTATGTAAGGCATTTGCAATTTGGGGAAAATTTAATGAAGGTATTAACTGTTCATCATCTTACAGCCACATGTAAGGGCCTTGATCCAGTCTCTGACACTTGCTGCTCTCCTCCTTCCCTGGCTTCTCTCTTCAGACACAAGCAACTCCAAGGATCCTCTCTTTGCTACCTATCTTGATCTCTTTTTCTGCCCTAGCTTTTATAGGACTCGGCATTTACTTGTCACTCAAGTTAGCAGAAGCAGCTGTTTGCTATTCGACTAGACCTGGATTGTGTTCCATGAACCGTCTTAACAATACAATATCTTTGTTAAGTCCCTATGGTCCAATGTTTAGTTTATATATATCGTTTGATCGTCTTGCTTATTGGTTAATAACTTCGTATTTTCTTTTGAAACAAAAAAAAGGTTCTTATTTTCTTATCTTAGGTTGTCATCTTGTATTTCTTTGCAAAATCTTTTTTCGTTACAGGGTTTTCTTATATTAAAGGTACTTTCTTGAACATCACGGTGGATCCAGAAATTCCAGCCATGTGATCGAAGTGAACATCACGGTGGACACAGTTTACATGAAGCTGAGCGAATCGCTTCCGAACATCACGGTGGATCCAGAGACGTATGTTGTCACAACAAACGGTGAGGTACTTTGTTGTTTCAGTTTCTTTGCGCATTATATAGGCACTGCTTAACTGGATTGATACACCTAAAGCAATTTAGAAAGAATACGCATAGGTGATGATTTGTCATTTGTTTTTTTTTTGGTAAAGGGTCTTCATGATTTGTCATTTGTTGCTGTAATATTATCTTCTGTGAGAGAAGAAGCAAAGAAAAATTGGAAAGTAAATGTAGTGAAAGAGATAAACAAGAACTTTAAAAATATTGTTTAGGGCAAGGCACAAGAGGATCTTAAATGAAGCACTTTATGCTTTTGTGCAACGTTTATAGAGTTAATGGAGTTTATGAAAATATCTAAACTCTTTAACAAAAAATTAAACAATCTAAACGAAACACTTAATCACTAACAGTGATCAAGCCACAAAAGAAATATACGCATGACGTAGCACACAGTGATCTAGACATTTTCATTCTTTTTTTTTTTGAAAAATAAAAGGAAAAAGGTACAAAACCAAACTGGGTGAATTTAGTATCCCAAACGACCAAACCGAATATCTAAATCACAAATAACTATATTTCAATTTTTTGTTCATATAATCTTTGTTCATATAATCTGTTTTCATGGATTCAATAGCTAGGGGTTTTGTTGTTCTTTGGTGAACCTCTTGAATACCGAATTTTGTTGTTTTTTAATTATCTAGGTTTTCTTTTTTGTTAGTTTGATGAATTTGTAAATCGCGTATCTCATGTTAGTGTTTTTTATATCTAAATCTCGCTGTTCTTAAGAAACTACAAATCCAGTTATTAGAATCGTACGTTGTTAATGTAACCTGTTTTTGTTTACACGTTTTGGTTGGCAACAAAAGGACTAACAAGGAGCAAACGTTTGACCAGAAGTTTGCAAACGCAAATGAAGCTTTAAGATTGAGTTGCAAAATGGGTTATCCTGTTCGTGTTGTCAGGTTAGTTTTTCTATGAGCAAAAGTCCATTGCTTTGAATTAGAATTTTGAACCAGAAACTATAAGCAGAAAGTGATACTAATCAAATCAAATTAAATTCCTTCCTTCATAAATAACTATCAGGTCTGAAAAGAAGTGTACTGCATATGCCTCTGCGAAAGGAGTAAGATATGATGGAGTTTACAGGATTGAGAAGTGCTGGCGAAAAGTTGGAAAACAGGTACAACATCTAACTAAGCTTTTTTTTTTTTTAATACAGATATTGATTGTTCTTTTTTTATATCTAACATGTTGTTTTTTATTTTTTATTTTATTTTTTATCTTTTCCATAGGGTGTTTTTAAGATGTGTCGTTACCTGTTTGTGAGATGTGACAATGAGGCAGCTCCATGGACCAGGTTTGATTTTACTTCTCTTGAGGAAGCGCTTTTTTCACAAATATTCTATAATTCAGAGTTTAATTAAGCTATGTATATGTACAATGTAGTGATGAGCATGGAGATCGTCCAAGATCTTTGCCTAATATTCCAGAGCTTGAGATGGCAACAGACTTGTTTGAGAGAAAGGAAAATCCATCATGGGATTTTGATGTAAGTTCACATTCTCTTAGGGTTTAGTGATCAGATTTCAAATTTTCATCTCCTGGTTCTCATTATATGTAATATCTTCCGTGTACACTTACTTGAACAGGAAAGTGATGGTCGTTGGAAATGGATGAAGCCTCCACCAGCTAGCCAAAAGGCACTTAATGCTTTGGACCCTAATGAGAGAAAAAGTGTGAGGAAAGCCAGAAGTTCAACACAGACCGTGAGAGAGAAACTTCTAAAAGGTTTGAGTCTTCAGCTCTCTTTCCCAAAAAGAGTTAATCTAATTCAGAAAGTTAATACTGATAAGCATATTTAATTAGATTCTTGTTTTTGTTTTTGGTGTAATGCAGAATTTAGCTGCCAAATCTGTAGGCAAGTGATGAGTCTTCCTGTGACAACGCCTTGTGCTCACAACTTCTGCAAGCCATGCATAGAAGGCAGATTTGTTGGGCAAACTGTAATGACAGAAAGAAGCAAAGGTGGACGTACACTTCGTGCCAGAAAGACCATCATGAACTGTCCTTGTTGCCCCACTGACATTTCTGACTTTCTCCAAAACCTTCAGGTCAACATCATCATCTCTTCTTTCATATAATCTTATGTAGTTAACACTATTGCCATCGTATTCTAAAACTTAGTTGTGTGGAAACAGGTGAATAGAGATATAATGGCGGTGATAGAGAAGCTGAAGAACAAGGAAGAGGAACCAGTGTAGATGAAAACTCTGACATTACTGAAGCAGCTGAAGAAGAAACTCCGCTTGTCACTGAAGAAGATGCTGAACAACCGAGGAAAAGGATCAAACTGGATACTGACACACTAGTTTTTTCTGCGACTGTGGTGTAATCTTGGCTTGGTGGAAAAAGGACCAAACTAAACCTATAGCCAATGGCTTCTTCTTCCTTTTCTTTTTCTATTGAAGCAAAATGTTTTTGTGATAGTATATCACTTATCTATCTCGGTTTATATTAATTGTACTTTTATTATACTTATGTAAGACATTTTGCCAATTTGGTGAAAAGTTAATGAAATTATTATGTCTTATATTATTCGGTATTTCTGTCTCTCTCAGCTGTTCAACATCTTTCATCATCGGCCACAGATATAAGCATCATTCTTTTTTTAATGATGTTTAACAGTGTCATTTATTGATCACCATCCATCCTTGCCTGCGAGCTACTATTGACGCCATAGCTCTAAGGTGACATATTTTTTTTATTTGAACATTTTTTTTTTTAAATATATATATTTATATAAAATAAAAGTTACATGGCTATGACCAAAGTCATACAGTTGTTAAAAAGCTATTACAAGTTGGAAAAAGAAAATAGGAACATATAATGAACCATTAACAATCAAATCCTCCGCTTTGATTGACTTTAGAGCTAAAGATAAGATGACTACCTCTAGCCACATCCACCTTTGTCTCCACGTCCTCGGTTCCCTCGACCACGACCCTCTAAGGTGACATATTACAAGCCAATGAAGAAGAAGTAGACGGTAACCTAAACGCGCAGACGTGGATTATTGCTGCTGCAACCGCAACAGCAGCAATGCAAATGCGGTTTCCGTATATCGATCCAGTCTCGCACTCCCTGCTCTCCTCCTTATATGGCTTCTCTCTTTAGATACAAGAAATCTCCATAGATCCTCTTTTTGCAACCTACTTTCTCTCTGTTTCTGCCTTAGCATTTACTTGTCACTCAAGTTAGCAGCAGCAGCTGTTTGTGATTCGACTTCTTTAGGAACTAAACCTGGATTGTGTTCCATGAATCATGTTAACAATACAATATCTTAAGGTTTTGTTGAAAACAACAGTTTCTTTGTGCATAATATAGGTATTGTTTAACTAAATTGATACACGGCCTAAAGCAAATTAGCAAAGTATACGCATGATGATTTTTTTTTTTTTTTTTTGAACTTTATAGTGATGATTTGTTGTTGTTATATAAGCTTCTCTGAACAAATTTCTCTTAAAAAGGCGAGAGAAGAAAAAAATGGAATGAAAATGTAGTGAAAGAGATAGACAAGTCACAAGGGATCTTAAACGAAGCACTTTATGATGTTGTGCAACTTTTATAGAGTTAATGAAAAGATCTAAACGACGCACTTAATCAGTAACAGTGATCAAGCCATAAAATAAATATATGCATGACATAACACAATGTTAAATAATAATATTAAATTAGTGATGATGATTATACCAAAAGCTGATAGAAAAAATAAATTCACAGTTGGTGGTATTGACTGAGATTTCTTTGCTAAACCTCATGATTTTTTTTTCCCCTATATTTTGACTTTAGGTGATATTTTATTCCTTATGAGTTGATTTGATCTTATCTTTTTCTCTCAGATTATTTTGGCAATTCGTTCATTTTATGGAAACACTAGATATAATTTGTTTTCATTTTCATTTCTTTTTGTTGACTGAATTTCAAAAAATTTAAAACCCCGCTGCTGCAATTTGCGCCTCTCAATCCACCAACCCTATATCCTCTCCTCTCTCCACCCTATAAATACAAGAACCACAACTCTCTCGAATCTCATCACCTCTCAAACACCTTTCTCTATCCATAGCTCTCTCTCTCTGATAATTTCTCAAAAATGGCGCACGTTCCATGCGATGCAAGATGACTCCTCCGACGGAGGAATCTCTCATGTGCGCTATGCCTTGGCATGCGTCATGTCTCTCTTCCCCTCCGGAGACTCTCGCTTCCACTCTACAGTGGGAGTGCCCCGATTGTTCCGGAGAAGGTGACTGTCTTCCGATTGCATTCATCGATGAATCGGATCTTGTCGCAGCCATTCTCGCCATTGAGGATAGCCCTGTCACGGTTTCTCCAATATCTCTCGTTCAGTATCTCTCTTATTTTTGTTCATATATATAATCTGTGTATCATGGATTCAATATCTAGGGTTTTTGTTCTTGTTTGGTGAAACTCTTGAATACTGAATCTATTTTAGTTTTTTTTTTTTTAAATATTTAGGTTTTTTTTGTTAGTTTGATGAATCTGTTAATATCTAGATCTCGCTTTTCTTTATGAAACTACAAATCCAGCAATTAGAATCCGTTCCTTTTGTCGTGTATACAGAAAGCATGCATGGACTTAATTGTGCTTACCATTTATTAAAAAAAAGATTTTAATCCTTCCTATACGTTGTTAATGTACCTGCTTCTGTTTACACATTTTGGTTGGATTAATTTATCGTTTTGTTGAAAATTGTTAGGCAACTTAATTTCTGCAAATGAGTGTGTACAATAAGACTAACTGTTTTGAGAAATTTGAAGACTAATAAAGAGAGCTGATGGGTATCTTGAATGTGTATTTTTTTCAGGCACCATGTGGGCACAATTTCTGCATGAAATGCTTTGGGAAATGGACTATTGGTCAAGGCAAGCGTACTTGTGCAGAATGCCGCAAAGTTATTCCTCTCAGAATGGTCAGAAACCCTTGGATCAACTCTGCCCTTGTCTCTGCCATTCGTTTGGCCAAAGGTTAAGACAAAGTACAATGAAAGAGAACTGAGAGGTGGATGCTTCTGCTGCTGCTGACTTGTGCTTTATCAAGGAAGATATTGCATTTGTTGATGGTCTTGCCGCTGACTAGGCCATTCTTTATGGTTGGACTGTTTAAGGATGGTCTAGTCAGCGGCAAGACCATCAACAAATGCAATATCTTCCTCGATAAAGCACAAGTCAGCAGCAGCAGAAGCATCCACCTCTCAAGCTGCTCCTAATGGCAACGAGCAACAACCATAGCGATCGTTGAGGTCTTCTTCTCTATATGTAGTAGACATCATATAGAAGTTCTGTGCCTGATGTTATCCTCCAACCAACATATTCTATCTTTTATTCTGACAAAAATTGATATCAGAAAAACTTCCGTCTTGTCCCAGCCGCTGATGAAGATTTGTGAGACAAGATTTATGATCATGTCACGTATGGTTTACATTATTGTCCAAACACTCTGAAAGAGAATTATTTATGATTATCAAGCTTAAATCATCAAGACAAGCTAGTTTAGATTATGCGGTCGATTAAGCCAAAACCAAACCAAACCAAACCAAACTGAGATTAACCAGTTAACTTTCACCTGAGACGTATGTTGTCACAACAAATAGTGAGGTACTTTCTTGTGCACCAGCCAATTCAGTTCCGGAACTATTTCCTCTTTTAAGGTTTTGTTGAGAATACGCATAGGTGATGCTTCTCTGAACAAATTTCTCTGAGAGAAGAAGCAAATAAATATTGGAATGTAAATGTAGTGAAAGAGATTAACAAGGACTTTCATAATATTGTTTAGACGAGTCGCGCGCAAGAGGATCATAAACGAAGCACTTAATCACTAACAGTAACACAATGTCAAATAGTAATATTAAGCACTTAATCGTTGTTCTTTTTTTTTTTTTAATCTTTTCCATAGGGTGTTTTTAAGATGTGTCGTTACCTGTTTGTGAGATGTGACAATGAGGCAGCTCCATGGACCAGGTTTGATTTAACTTCTCTTGAGGAAGCGCTTTTTTCAAAATATTCTATAATTCAGAGTTTAAGTAAGCTATGTATATGTACAATGTAGTGATGAGCATGGAGATCGTCCAAGATCTTTGCCTAATATTCCAGAGCTTGAGATGGCAACAGACTTGTTTGAGAGAAAGGAAAATCCATCATGGGATTTTGATGTAAGTTCACATTCTCTTAGGGTTTAGTGATCAGATTTCAAATTTTCATCTCCTGGTTCTCATTATATGTAATATCTTCCGTGTACACTTACTTGAACAGGAAAGTGATGGTCGTTGGAAATGGATGAAGCCTCCACCAGCTAGCCAAAAGGCACTTAATGCTTTGGACCCTAATGAGAGAAAAAGTCTGAGGAAAGCCAGAAGTTCAACACAGACCGTGAGAGAGAAACTTCTAAAAGGTTTGAGTCTTCAGCACTCTTTCCCAAAAAGAGTTAACCTAATTCAGAAAGTTAATATTGATAATCATATTTAATTAGATTCTTGTTTTTGTTTTTGGTGTAATGCAGAATTTAGCTGCCAAATCTGTAGGCAAGTGATGAGTCTTCCTGTGACAACGCCTTGTGCTCACAACTTCTGCAAGCCATGCATAGAAGGCAGATTTGTTGGGCAAACTGTAATGACAGAAAGAAGCAAAGGTGGACGCACCCTTCGTGCAAGGAAGACCATCATGAACTGTCCTTGTTGTCCCACTGACATTTCTGACTTTCTCCAAAACCCTCAGGTCAACATCATCATCTCTTCTTTCATATACTCTTATGTAGTTAATATTATTGCCATCGTATTCTAAAACTTAGTTGTGTGGAAACAGGTGAATAGAGATATAATGGCGGTGATAGAGAAGCTAAAGAACAAGGAAGATGAAGAAGGTGCAAGCACAAGTGTAGATGAAAACTCTGGCATTACCGAAGAAGCTGAAGAAGAAACATTGGTCGTCGCTGAAGAAGCTGATGAACAGCCGAGGAAAAGGATCAAACTGGACACTGACACACTAGTTTCTTCTGAGACTGTGGTGTAATCTTGGCTTGGAGGAAAAGACCAAACTAAACCTATCCAATGGCTTCCTCTTCTTCTTTTTCTGTTGTACCAAAATGTTTGTTGTTTTTGTGATAGGATATCACTTATCTATCTCGGTTTATGTTATCTCTTTCGGTCTTTATTCTTCTCTATATCTCAACTGTTCATCATCTTTCATCATCAGCCACATGTAAGTCTCTTGATCCAGTCTCGCACACTTGCTGCTCTCCTCCTTCTATCGCTTCTCCTTTCATATACAAGCAATCTCCAAAGATAGTCTCTTTGCAACCTATCTTGATCTTTGTTTCAGCGTTAGCCTTTTTTGGACTTGGAATTACTTGTCACTCAAGTTAGCAGAAGCAGTTGTTTGTGATTCGACTTCTTTAGGAACTAAATCTGGATTGTGTTCCATGAACCGTGTTAACAATACAATATCTTCGATTTCCGCATAAAATTAATAACATTGTTACACAATATCTTTGATTAGTCCCTATGGTCCGATGATACGTTACTGTGCACTTATATTTACTAGTAATCGGGATATTGTCGGGAATTTATTAATCTCTTCTCCTTATGATTTTTCATGAGTTTTGTAGAGGAAAATTTTCCTCTTTTTATTACCTTTTAATTTTTAAATTTAATGTTTTTTACCTGAAAACTTTGTTGTTGTTCTTTTTACTGGTGAAAAGAAAGTAGAATTCAGAGTTATATTCAGTTCCTGCTACAATATTATTTAAAGTTATGCAAGAAGTCAAACTCAATATAACCTTTTTTTTTTGGACAACAACAGAGTTTATAAAACTAGCTTCGGTTACACCTCACACATGAGGAAGAGATCCAACAACAAGGAGCTGAATCTAGAATTACACTAAGCACAACAAAGCTAAAGGAGAACAAGGATAACAACATGATAGATTCAGAATTACCACATAGGGTTGATTCTTCCTTTAAGATAGATAGGGAGGCAGAATTTCCTGAACACAACATCCAGTATCTAAATTCATTGCCTGAAGCAAACACCAATACACCACCAAGCACTATAATTGCAACAATCAAAAGCCATCCACGAGACTTTGACTTGCTGAACTTTGAATAGAGGCAGACTTGAATGAAGTTTTCTTTAAACCCACGACCACATGGTCGTAAAATGCTCGCAAGACTAGAGCCAAGGCCATCAATGCAGAGCTTAACAATACTCGCTCCATAAAGGAGGAGACAATTCTCGGTTTCGAATCCAAGTACAAATTACTTCTCATAAAGAAGATCATTGAAAGTGTGACACTTTTCTTTCTCACGAAGGAAAGTGAAGAACATCTCATAATGTAGCGCTTAGGTAGAAACAGCTTTGAAGGAGAGCTCGCTACGGACAACTCATGGGTCAAACCCAAAGTTTTACAACGCCGGACAGAGATGAGCAAATTTGTGTAGACAGGAATCCAAGATCCTGTTGTCCTTTCACCGGCGAGGAGTAGGACGGGAAGCTTCGAATGACCAAGGCTGAAGAAGATGGTGGAGGGAAACGACAGATCTGGAACGAAGGAGGGAGGCGGATGTGAGGCGGAAGGGATCCGAGATGAACAGAGATGGTATAGAACCATGGAACAAGAGCGCGGATGTATATCCGGAGGTTTTGACGGAGGTTTCGGCATCGCCGTAAAGGTGCTCACTCGGAGTGAGAAGGGGTCGACGAACACACGGACTGGCTGCTCCGGTAAGTTGGAGAAGAGAGGTGAGAGATCCGTCCTCAAGATCTCTGCAGATCTCGTCGGACTCTGTCCCTAGAAGAGCAGCACTGCCTAGAAGAACAAAGAGACAAAACAGTCTCGCCAATGAAGATATCACCGGCGGAAGGAGAAGCAAAGTCATCGGACGTCTAGTCGGAGCCAGGAAAAAGAAGGCCTCGCTCCAATTTCAGGAGAAGAACCGCCGGTGAAGGGGATTCATTCCGAAATCAGAGCAAAAGCAACGGTGGGAAATGGAGGAAGCGGCGGACTTGGGAAGCGTGCCTGAGAGAGAATTAATTTTAGGGCCAACTCAAATCCCCAACTAGTCAAACTCAATATAACCACACAACATATTTGTGGGTTCAACTTTTGCATTATTTTCAAGATAAAAGCTAGCAGAAACGAAATGAAATGATCAACGATTGTGTCTTAGAAACTGATAATGCTGGTTTTCCAAAAGTCATGAATGATATAATAATGCTCATTTGTGTAATAAAAAATATGTAGAAAGAAGAAGAAAATGAGGCTGCCTTCAAAACGAACCATGAACTAGGCTTTTGTCTACAATTTGTCCGCCAGTACATTTGTCTGATTCGTTTTAAAAACGATATTTATATTTAATACTTAATAGTAGTTACAACTTACAACTTTGGTCTCAACTTTTTGTGTCAAAACAATTAATCTTTCCTCCTTCCTCAACTCAGCTTAAATAGTGTTGTCTAGAATCTCTAGATTCATCAAAATCCAAGTAATGCACGCTTCTCTATTAAACAATAGCTAAATAAAAATTAAGATTTCATAAATCTATACTTAGACACATAAGAGCTACGAGAAAAAAAATTATACAAATACATAACTAATTAAAGGGATCGTAGTGGTGGATAAAAGCGTCGATGTGGCACAACATATCTATTACATAAGACAGATTGAAAATCTAGATTAGACAAAAGAGCTTTTTATATAGGGTAAGTCTGAATACGTTTTCTACAAAAACTAGTTTTAATATATATATGAAGCAATCTAGAATACGACTATTAAAAGGTAAATTATACAATAATGTTAACAAAAAATACATGTAAGTGTTAATTTGATTTTTTTATAAAAACAATTGGGTGATTTTTAGTCATTATAATGTCAAAGTTAAAAAAACATATAGTTACACAACACCACAAGAAATATGATCCTTTAGCTAATTTTCCCAAAAATATAGGCATGACGTAGCTAAAATCACGGTTGGAGTTGGCGAGATTTCTTTCTTAACTGGTATTGTTTTTTTTTCCCCTCTATTTTGAAGTTTGACTTTAGGAGAGATTTTATTCCTAATGAGTTGATTTGGTTTTATCTTTTTCTCGCAATTCGTCCATTTATGGAAATACTAGATATAATTTGTTTTCATTTTCATTTTTTGTTGACTGAATTTAAAAAAAAATTAAAACCCCGCTGCTGACAATTTGCCAACCCTACATTCTCTCCTCTCTCCACCCTATAAATACAAGAGCCACAACTCTCTCGAATCTCATCATCTCTCAAACACCTTTTCTGTCCATATCTCTCTCTCTCTCTCTCTGATCATTTCTCTAAAACGGCGCAGGTTTCATGCGATGCCGACGGTGTGTGCATGAGATGCAAAGACGACTCCTCCGACGGAGGAATCTCTCATGTGCACCACTTGCGCTACGCCTTGGCATGCGTCATGTCTCTCCTCCCCTCCCGAGACTCTCGCTTTCACTTTACAGTGGGAGAAGTTGACTGTCTTCCGATTGCATCCAACGATGGATCAGATCTTGTCGCAGCCAAGACGCTCGGAGAAAACCTGTCTTGCGTTTTCTGCATTCAGTTGCCTGATAGGCCCGTCACGGTTTGTCCTATATCTCTCCTATGCTTGTTCATATAATCTGTTTTTCTTGAATTCAGTATCTAGGGTTTTTGTTATTGTTTGGTGAACCTCTTGAATACCAAATCTATATATTTTAGTTTTTTTTTAAGTTATCTAGGGTTTTCTGTTAGTTTGCTGAATCTGTAAATCGCGTATCTGTTTTATTTTTTATTTTTTTTATATCTAGATCTCGTTTTTATTTTGTGAAACTACAAATCCAGATATTAGAATATAATCGTCCCTTTTTGTCGTGTATACAGAATGCATGGACTTACTTGTGCAGCTGTGCTCACCATTTATATTAAAAAAAAAAGATGTCAATCGTTCCTTTACGTTGATAATGTAACCTGTTTTGTATACATATTTTGGTTGGATTAATTTATAAATTGTTAGGCAACTTAATTTCTGCAAATGAGTGTGTATATGTAAGCTTACACTTTTGCTTATATGGTTGATCAATTTTGTATTGGTTTTCGGTTGCAGTTTGTGGACTTTATTTTTATTTTTTATTTTTTATTTTTAAATCATTTTTGACAATGATAAACCATTGAGTTTTGCCAAGTATTTGATATCGTGATCTTTACGTGATATAAGTGGCAAGACTTTTAAGTTAACTTTTTTTTCCTTCCTACTTTTTAATATGACTAAGTTTTGCAATAAAGACTAATAAAGAGAGCTGATGGATATCTTGTATGTGTATTTTTTTCAGGCACCATGTAGGCACAATTTCTGCCTGAAATGCGTTGGGATAGCAGCAGCAGAAGCATCCACCTCTCAAGCTGCTGCTACTGGCAACGAACTCAAGATAAGAAAAGGGACCTCAAGGTAATGTTTTGTTTAAGTTCAAGCTTCGCAGAGTTTCAGGTCAGCCTCCTATTGACTTAGAATCATAAGTATGAGAGATTAAACTTTTATTTTTTGTCTCGTTATGGATTTGTGGTGGTAATGTGGTATTATCAAATGTGCTTTAGTTTTTTTGTTTTGGAATCATTACAATAGGTTTTGGATATTTTGCATTAGATATTTTGCATTAAAATATCCAAAACCTATTGTTATGATTCCAAAACAAAAAAACTAAAGCACATTTGATAATACCACATTACCACCACAAATCCATAACGAGACAAAAAAATAAAAGTTTAATCTCTCACACTTATGATTCTAAGTTAATAGGAGGCTGACCTGAAACTCTGCGAAGCTTGAACTTAAACAAAACATTACCTTGAGGTCCCTTTTCTTACCTTGAGTTCGTTGTCAGTAGCAGCAACTTGAGAGGTGAATGCTTCTTCTGCTGCTACTACTGCTTGTACTTTCTCGAGGAAGATATTGCATTTGTTGGTGGTCTCGGGTAATAATTCTTTTATTCTTGAAGGCCTTTTAACAAAAAAAAAAAAAAAAAAAAAATATATATATATATATATATATATCTTTTATTCTTGTGCTTTCTGTTTTCCTCCATCAACAGTTCTTTTATTCTCGGGTAATAATGTTTCATTTAGTGTGTCCTCATATGATTACCAAAATGTGTTGGAGCATCACTAAAATTTTTGTTTTCCTTTCGTTAATGATGTTAGGTGGCAGTGGAGGCTATTTATGGTTGAACTGTTTAAGGATGGTATAGTCAGCGGCAAGACCATCAACAAGTGCAATATTCTTCCTGGAGAAAGCACAAGCAGCAGCGGCAGCAGAAGCATCCACCTCTCAAGCTGCTGCTTCTGGCAACGAGCAACAACCTGTGGAAGTTGAAGTTGATGGAGAAGAACAACAACCATAGCGATCGTTGAGGTCTTCTTCTCTATATGTTTTTTTTTGTAAAAGTCTTCTTCTTCTCAATATGTAGCAGACATTATTTATCTTTTACCAATGGCTTCTTCTTCTTCACGATAGAAAGTAGTAGACATCATTTATCTTTGTTGTTGCTTTTTTACTGGTGAAAAGAAAGTAGAATTCAGAATAATATTTTCCTGCTACAAAGTTACCGTAAGTTATGCAAGAAGTCAAACTCAATGTAACCACACAACATATTTTCAACTTTTGCATTATTTCAAAAAAAAGCTAGCAAAAACGAAATGAAAGGAAATGGTCAACGATTGTGTCTTAGAAATTGATAATGCTGGTTTTCTAAAAGTCATGAATGATATAATAATGCTCATTTGTATAATAAAAAATACGTAGGAAGAAGAAGAAAATGGGGCTGCCTTCAAACGAACCATGAACTAGGCTTTTGTCTACAATTTGTCCGCCACTACAATTGTCTAATTCATTTTAAAAACAATATTTCTTGTTAATATATAGTAGTTGTTACAACTTACCACTTTGGTCTCAAATTCTTGTGTCAACTCAATTAATCTTTCCTTCTTAATCACTCAGCTTAAATAGTGTTGTCTAGATTCATCAAAATTCAAGTCATGCACGCTTCTCTATTAAACAATACTAGGGCTAAGCCCGCGCGATGCGCGGATTGTGACTATTACAAAAATTTGTTATTTATATTTTAATTGACAATGTGCATCTAATTTATCTTACACTTATCTCTTCTCCAAACAAGCAAAGAACAAAAGTACAGAAGAAACCAAAAAACTCTCTCGTGTCTTTGCCACGTAGATATGGACGTCGAACATCACAAGTCCGGCTACATCGGTAGACCAAAGGTGGATATTCCACCAATAACAACAAATTCTGGAATTTAAGAGAAGAACACCTGTCCACTTAAGAAAAAAAAGGTCAAAAAAAATTTGTTTTACGTAATTTGCATTGAAGTCAAGAACGTTTCATCTTCCTCGAGTTCTACCATTCTTCTTCCCTCTTCGTTCCGTCTCCCCAGATCCAGAAAATTTGCAAACTTGCTTCCGTCACTCTGATACAATTTGCAAAATTTTGAGTGACGTTGTCGTAGCTGTTGTCTTCTTCCTGCTTAACGACAGACCCAGATTTCACCATAATTTTGATTCATTAAATAAACGTCTTCACCTTTGATCAGCATCACTAAAACACAAGAACCCATCAAAGCTAACACCAAGTAGATAAAAAATTTAACTATTGACCCGTGAGAGTGACCCGTTCAATTCTTTTTTCTTTTTTTTTTCTTTTTTTTTACAACAGCCTAAGTTCCTAAAACGGTTCGGGAAGCAAAACCGGTGGAACTGAATTTTTGTCCGCCTTTGTGTTCTTTGTCTTTGGAATGTGGGTCCCGTTCAGTTCTTTAAACAAATAATTTTTTTTCTTTTTTTTTCTATTTATTCAAAGATTTGAAAACATGATACGACTTGTTTTTAAAGATGTATATTTATAGTAGTGATTGAAACTTTCTGTTAATGATACAAACGATTAGAGATGTCAACTTGGACCGCAGCCCGCGGGTTAGGCCCGTTTAGGATTGCTACGGGGCGGGTTTGGGTTGGCATTTTCGAACCCGAAAATTTGCGGACCGCGAGCCCGATTTCCGCTTGCGGTTTAGGCGGACATATCCGCGGCGGTCGGGCGGGTTTTCGGGTCCACCGCAAAAAAAAAAAAAAAAAAAAAAAAAAAAAAAAAAATCTCTTCCCAATCTTCGATCTTCAATGCAAAGCTTATTCAATCTTCCCGATCGACGATTTTCACTCGGCTGAAGCCACTTTTGTTTGATTCAGGTTGTAGTTAGGGAAGTTGACACCTCGAATGCAAAGCTCAATTTCATAATTGGGTAAGACCCGACCTTTACAGTGAAATCGTGAACGGTCTTCTCTGCAGCAGCTCTAGCTTGAACGTTGAAAATCCGGGACTTGAAGAGAAACCCAGGATTAATCGCAGATGTGAGAGAAAACACATTACTCAGATTCGCACAAGTCGGCAGGTGTAATCAATCGGAGGATCGGAGGAGCTCTTAGCCGGAGCAAGTACGTTTTTCTCTTCTCTTATATAAGTATCGTGATTGTCATACTTGTTATCTTTTTGAGTTTTGTTAATATGCATTGCTATAAACTACGCGGAATACCAACAAACACACTAAAAGAAAGTTATTATATCATAATATGCAGTCATCATCAACCCGAAATTCCCTGGTGGTGCTAGATGAGCTTGGACGAGTTACAGCCACATGAGATGGACAAGCCATTGCGTATGTTGAACCATGTTTGTGTAATTTGTTGTTGACGCTTGCTTTTATCAATGTTAAGATTATGTAAAATCATCTTTAAAATCTTTACAGAGAACTCGTACTTGAGCACTTCATAGACAAGGTGCAGTGTAGAGGAATGTTCTCTACTCATTATCATCGTCTCTCTATGGATTATAAAACCAATCCGAAGGTATTGTGCTATGATCAGTACCACTGCAAAAGTGCTTGACTCTGCGTTTGGAAGACTTGTTGTGACCTTTTTGTATACATGTGAAGCTTTTACTCAAAACCTGATCGCTCTTGCATGTATTTGTTTTGGATAGGTCTCAAAGAAAGAAAGATAAAAAGCCACCACAAGACCTCACAATCTCCTCTACATCGCGCAGTTGCTGAAACTTCATGATCATGGCAAGAAAAAGGTCCATATGGCATGTCAAGTGGGAGAAGGAAGTGGTGGAGTGGAAGAAGTTTTTGCATTCGTAATAAAATTAGTTACAAGTTTGACCAATACATGTTTGGTTCTGTTTTATACATGCAACAAGAGAAACAATTGCTGAGTGTTAATTGTAGTCTCAAAACCTGTACAAGATAACATGAGCTTTAACTATACAAAATCACCACCCTTCACAGCAGAACCAGAGAAGTAAACCTGCAACATTCTTATGTGTTGGTTGATAAAAGGTGGACAAATACACGACAACTTCTTTCTGCTTCTTACTCTTTCCCATCAACGCCTTTTTCAAAACTCCAAACGGTTTAAAAACTTGGTGCCAATCTGTTGACCTGCGGGTTGACCCGCTTAACCGCCAATATAATGCGGTGCGGGTTAGGGTCGAGCTTTTGGCAACCGCAGCCCGCAGCGGTCCGACCCGCCTGATCCACCGGCAAAGTGAAACCGCGGAGGGCTGGCCCGTTTGGGTGCGGGTTGGCCCGTTTGACATCTCTACAAACGATGTGGGACAAAAATCTGTATTCCTTCCTTTTTTTTATTTTGTCCCACATCGAAACATACACACAATAGAAGCTAACTTTTTCTTTATAAATAGGAAATGTGACTTCCTTTCATTTGCACTATATTTGGACTAAATTCTAATGCCCATTACTTTTGGGAATAGAATTCTAAGCCCAAAACAAAATTAAAAATTTATGTTTTATACTTGGTTAAGGCGGGTTGGGTTGTGGGTAAGGCAAAAGTCTCGGGTACCCGATTCATGCTCAGCCTTAAAGATGAAGAGTTAAAAACATTTGTGTTTTTTTTTTTTTGATGAAGAGATGTCAGGTGTCACTCAACTGGAGAGAGTTATTCTCTCATTATATATAAGACTAGTAGAGTACCTGCACGTTTGTGCGGTGTGACGTTGTATTTTTGTGTAGAAAATTTAAACTCTAAATCCGAACTTGATAAAAAAAAGCTAATAAATTTTTTGAAAAACCCAAACTTTTTTTAATATGTCTAAACCCGAAAATCTGAAATAAAAAAAATCCCGAAAACCGTGAACTGAACAAAAAAAATCTGAAAACTTTTTCACCCAAAACCCGACCCAAATAGCCTAATCAAAATTTTAAAATACTCAAACATTTTTAATATTTCTAGAACCGAAAATCTGAAATCTTAAAAATTCGGAAAACCCTAAACTGAAAAAAAAAAACCCCGAAAATCCAAAACGCATATTCTATTGATTTGGTATTATCATTAGATTATGTTAAGTTTTCTTTTTTTTGCAGATATTTAAGAGCTGGAAAATGGAAGTTTTCTAAACCAACGGTTTGTTTTAAGTTATTATTCTTGTATCCAAAAAAATTTTCCATTTATTCTTCTATCCAAATAGTTTTTTCTCTTATACTTGTATTCAAACATTACAATGTACTAAATTGACCCTAATTAAATATGTTGCCAAATTGATTTTTTTGTCATAATTTATGTACTTCTCAATCATAGCTAAAAAGCAAACTAAGATATTGGTTAACGAAGTATATATTGGTAAATAGTTAACGTATGAATCCTTTTTTTGATAAAGAACGTATGAATCTTTTTGAAAGTGATGCACAAATTACATCTTGTAGAAATCACTAAAGACTATGATATAGTAGAGCACAATACACAAACACTGATACACATGACATAAGAGCTACCAAAAAATTAAAAAAAATAAAAATAAAAATGAGCTACCATAAAAAGATTTATACAAGTACATAACTAATTAAAGGGATCGTAGTGGTGGATAAAAGCGTCGATGTGGCACAACATATCTAGAGTTGTCGTTTGAGCAAGCTGAGACTTGCCAAGAACCTGAAACGCGTGTCCAACGCCTTTGTACACCACGCGCTTGATCACTTCCTCATTAGCATCGCACATCTTAATCTCTCTATCCATCAGCACATCCATCTCCGCCACGCACACCAGCGTCCTCGTCACCACCTTCACCGGTTTACAATACGGATGATCTCTGTTTGCGCCACGTGGTAAAGCCATCCTCCACCACGCGTCCGAAGCCGCTAGTGTCAGCACCGAGTTCTTCATGTTGTTCTCCACGCGCCTCTCGCTTTCCGTACGCGCCTCGCCGCCGAAGAAAGGCTGGATCAGGATAGTTCCTTCAATCTTCAACGGCTTTAGGAGAGAGTCGTCGGCTGCTAATCTTGCAGCTACGTGGTTGGCGATGTTGCCACCGGCGCTGTCTCCGGCCAAGAATATCTTGCTAAAGTCACATAGCTTGGCCCACAAGTTATCGTTTCTTGTTTTCTTGAGCCAGAGAATTGCATTGACTCCATCTTCGTAAGCTGCCGGAAGAAGGTTCTCAGGGGCTAAACGGTAATTTACAGACATGACCAAGCACCGTGAACGAGCGGACAATTTGGCCAAGAACTCGTGGTAACACGACCAAGAAGCAGAGCCGACGCAGAAACCTCCACCGTGGAAGTAGACAAGCAAAGGGAGCTTAGATTTAGAGACCGACGACGACTTCGTAACCACCGGGACATAGAGACGTGCCCAAACGTTGGTCAACTTGTCAATGTGAACATCAGAGCAAGCCACACCGAGCTCGAGGGCTAGTGAGGGACCCACATACGGCACGAGTTCAGATCGTTCCACGTGGCCGTCTTTGTAAACTCTAATAAGACCTTCCACTTCGTCTACGACTGGGCCATGAATGTTGGTGTTATTAGGGCTAATGGTGGTCATATGGGTCAATGTGGTGGCTCCCATTTTCTGATTTTTTTTTTTTGAAGTGTGGTTTGTGCAGTTTCGTGATACAAAGAGAGCTTTTTTAAGAGTTTGGGAGATTGATGTGTTTGGAGATTTCTTATATAGGAGAAGAATCTATAATGGTGGTGGATGACGGACACGGGTAAGGTTGAAAATATTTCCAACTTTACTTTTTCATCAAAATACTATCAATAATTGAAACTAATAATAAACTAATTTTTGTGGCTACTCTCTTTGTTATATTTATTATGGTAGTTATAAGAATGTGGTTCTCTTTGTAGATACTGAAGTTAATGTCTAGGACCGGAGCTACCACGTGATTTTATTTTGTAATATAAAAATTTGACGATTCTTGGTTATTAATCTTCCATAAGAATCAATAGTCACCCACCTATACACAATTCAATCAAATCTGTTTTTTTTTTCCTTCTTTTTTAATGAATGTTGTCATCTGCTGATATAACTGAACAATGAAATTAATGGTTTGTTCTTATCCAATGGGTGTGTGTTGGGCAAATATTCAACGTGACTATTTATTTGTAAGTTAGTCGATGGACTGTAGTGATCTTAAACGTTCGAATCACCAAATCGAATTATAATTTTCTATAAAATAATTAGTAGAAAAGATGCAAGTGGCACGTGGATCAAATACAGTGGTGGTGGTGGGCGATATAGTCTCCCATTTTTCAACGGCATAAGAGTCAGAAAGAGTATGGGATTGGTTGAATTGTTTTGTCAAGATGCACTTACCAAAAAGATATTGTCCACTTTTGTTCCTCATTGTTCGTTCATGCACCAATGTTTTCATTTTCATTTATTTTATTATGTACGTAAGTCATAGTGAACCATTTTAATATGTTGTGTGTCATTATTAGTTTAGTCACTGAATATTAAAATTTTAGGGGTCGGGTCTCTCTCTGTTGAATGTAGTGAAAATTTTATGATCAAATATTCAATTGGTGGCCGTTCTTCAATAAGGCTCTACGTTAACATGAGATTTTTGCTGTAACTAACTAAGATTGTATGAGATTTAGTTAATTAAGAGGCCAATTTTGGTAAATAAATAAATGTAACAACGAGAAACTCATGGGTTATTTGTTGAAATCAGTCTGAAAAGAAGTATGGGTAGTGAAAGTTGATTAGTGATGTATGTGTTAGCTTTACTTCTGGTTTATAGCAAGAAGATAGTTTGAGTGGGATATATAATGTATAATAAGAGGATGATAGTGTTGACTGTTGACTAAAGTGGGACAAAACCCATTTTCATGTTTGGGGAGTTTGATTTTAATGTGGCACATACATAAAAGGTCTCAAACGCAATTATAGCATACACTTCACTTCTGGTCGGCGCCATATACACACACTAATCGCAGCAAAGTTATGAATTCTAATTGGTAACATAAAGAATGGTTGACAATAGAAAATACAATGATGATTATTTGTTGGCAATCAAATTACTATTTTAGTGTTTATTTTTGGAGAGAGCGTGTTATGTCTTATATAACTATAGACTAACATATTCACATACGCTTCTTTTGTACTTTATAGAGATTCTGTGGAAAAGGGAAATCTGATAGAAGAAACAGAACACGAATCCTTATTCTCCATATATATAGGCCACAGAAAATTACTTTGAGCCAAAAAAACATGGGATCAATAAGCATAGCCACAAAAAAAAGGCCAATCCGAACTAAAAGTGATGGAGGATGCAATGAACCACTAGACCCCATTTATACATATATCAAAATGTCTGAAATTATTCATTCAGTAACCTGAAACGAGACCATACATATATCAAATCAAGCAACTCCAACAAACAAAGCAAAAAAATTACATAAAACATACACTTATTCAAACTACTCGAATCATCAAATGCATAACTATAATCCTTAGGATTCGCATACTCTCTGGTGCAACATTATATTCCTTCTCTGATTGCATAGCCAAGCCAAGCGCTTTTACATACGACGACTTTACCATCTCTCTTGACTTCCAAAGCAGAGGGACAACAAACATTCAACTCCTTCGGCGAGGCTCACCTCCGGTTCCTTGGCAATTGATTGAAGCGGCATTGCAATCTCCGGTTTGGCATGAGCCTTTGCCGTTTTAGTTGAAGATGCAAGACGCATATTAGAGGGCACAAGTGATGCCTTAATATTAATATGCAAGAAGCATAAGAGTATAAATGCAAGAAGCATATATGTGAGTATATATGCAAGAAGCATAGAGTATATATGCAAGAAGCATACGGTGATGAATATGATTCATGCAAGAAGCATAAGAGTGTTTATGCAAGAAGCATAAGATGATGTATATGCAAGAAGCATAAGATGATGTATATGCAAGAAGCATAGAGTGTTTTATGCAAGAAGCATAAGAGTGTTTTATGCAAGAAGCATAAGAGTGTTTTATGCAAGAAGCATAAGATGAATATGCAAGAAGCATCATCAGATGTATATATGTTTAGACCTGCCAAGCAAGCGCACCTGTCATGGCAAAGGTCAGACACACATGACACATCCCTTCTCTGTTTTCATCTTTCGATACATCTTTGTTTCTCTCCTTCTCTCAGTTTGAAAGCCCAAACAAATATGTGCATCTATAGAGATGATAACGCAATAAGAAAAATACCATCACGACCAAGATGGTTCCTTCGCATGTAATCATGATCAACGAGAATTGATCCGACGCGTCTATCCTCGTTCGGCGCTGCTTTAATCCCTAGCGGAATAGGAATCCGATTCCAGCAAATCCAATTTTACAAAGACATGTAAGCACAAGACACGAAAGGTTCTGAAACAGAATCAACGAATTGAGAAACCCTAGAACGTACCTCGATGATCAGATTGCAAATCGGCGCTTAAGAAATAAGAACCAACGTCGGCCGAATCGAATCGAGATAAGTCAAGCCAAACCCTAACAACAAGATAGTCATCGTCCAAACAAGGAAACGGAGAATGGGAAAGTGATCGGAAATTAAAGCTAAAGAGGATGAGGAAACCGATCGGCGGGAGATTGGGACGGGACCGGAGCAAAAGCCCAGAATCCGAGTCGGTTTTGGATTTCAGATCCGACGGCTGTCAATTGCTATAGTATAAAGCAATCAACGGTTCCGATTAAACATAACGAGTAAAGTCGGTTAATTAGTCGGTTACTTTGCACCACAAGTGTTTTATTCTCTTAATAAATTACATGGGTTATAGTATAATTGTTTAAAACCATATCCATATCCACATGCATGGGGTTCACTTTGATTATTTTTATTTATTTTGAGTAAATTATTGGGATATAATGCAAAAATTACATTACTTAAAAAGTGAAAATAAACAACAATAAAATCTTTACTAAATGAAAGCATCTAATTGGACTTCTTAGGGCACCTCACAGCTTTCAGTCACAGAATGCCACCTGGCATTTCAACCAAAATAAATAAAAACTTAAAAATTCAAATAATTAAAAGCTTCAAAAAAAAAAATCCATCACGAAGACCGCTACCCTCTCTTCAATGCCGCCTTCTCTACAACTCCCTTCCTTCCGTTAATCTCTTCGTCTTCTTCCCTGCAAAATTCACGTTCGTGACCTTTCCTCTATTCGATTACAAAATTCAATATAATTTATTTTCTAACCTTTCGACTTCGATCATTTTCACGTCGTTTTCCCTGAATTTGAAGCTGAATACAGGCGAAGAAGATGTCTCCAAATCTGATATGACCTAAATATTCACTGTTTTTTTTTTCTCAAATCCTCTTAAGTGAAATTTCCTCTATGTTTCCTCCCAATTAGCGACGGAGGAGATTCGGAGAGTGTCGGTAGCAGCAACGGCGGTGATGGGCTTGCGATATCCGAACTCAGGACTCCGGAGATTGTCAAAGCTTTGAGTGGTAGAGGAATCGATAAACTCTTTCCTATTCAGGTTCTATCTTCTTCTCCATCTGGCTACTCTATTTTGCTCGCTTAGCTCTGTAGACCGTATGTTGTAATTTGTGGGCTCTCGATTACATAGTAATGGTACAGAATCGAAATTTGACTGCAATGTTCTGTGATCTTTGACAATTTGAGCTATTTAGGAATGTTCATTTAACGAGGCGCTTATCAAATGTGTTAAATTTTGCAGGCGAGGGGATTTAAGAAGCATTTGAAGAGGCTCAATGCCCCAAAGCATTGGATGCTTGAGAAACCTGGCGGTGCATTCGTACGCCCCTCTCTCTCTCTCTCTCTCTCTCTCTCTCTCTCTCGATCTCTCTCGATCTCTCTCGATCTCTCTCTCTCTCGATCGACCATTGATTTTTCTCGCAGGCCCCCAAGCCTTCTTCCGGACCTCACAAATCGAGGGAGTGTCTCTCTCTTGTCCTGATCATCAGAAACAGATTGAAGTATGCTTTGACTTACCGTCAAGTGATCTCCATCCTCATGCAAAGGCATATTCTGGTCGATGGTAAAGTGATGACTGATAGTATGCTTTGCTTCATGGGTACGTTTTGTTCTTTCTCTTTTCGTTTATCGTTTACACCTTTTTGGTTGATTTAATTTGATCACTGAATTAAGTTGCTTTCTGATGTGGATAGATGTTGTGTCCATCCTCAAGACGAATGAGAACTTCCGTCTTCTGTATGACACCAAGGGACGTTTCCGTCTCCACTCCGTCAAGGATGAGGAAGCAAAAGTATGCTGCATTCTCTTGCTTAAATCTTGACTTTGTGTACATGTGAGATGAAATAGATAGGATTCTGGGGTTTTCTGTGGATTTCTTAATGTCTGTTGATGTGAAAACAGGACCTTAAATCCAGGCTCTAAACATGGCGGATACGATGCCTGCTCATATGGACCGACATCATAAGCATGGTAAGGAGGAAACTTTGTTCAAGACTTATTGTTTCATGAATACTGCAATGATGGCGACACATTTAGGCAAAAGATTCTGATATTTTGTTGTCACTATTAAGTCAAGTCAATACTGAGATTGTTTTTTTGTGTGTGTTATGGATCATATAGACATTGAACCGTATGTTCATTATCAACGCTGGTTCTGGATTCAGGCTTCTGTGGAGCACTGTGAAATCTTTCCTTGACCCAAAGACCACTGCAAAGATTCATGTAAGCTTTTCTTTTCACTCCAAAGATCAAAACTCTAAGGTCTGTCTCTGAGTTAACAGGAAAACTCATGTTCCTCAATGTACAGGTTCTTGGCAACAAATACCAGAGCAAACTGCTTGAGATTATTGACTCCAAGTAAGAGATGCATAACTCTCTTCATTTTCAGCCACACATTCATAATCTTGAACCTTTGTGTTTTGTTGTGTTTAGTGAACTTCCTGAGTTTTTGGGCGGGAACTGCACTTGTGCAGACAAAGGTGGTTGTATGCGTTCCGACAAAGGTCCATGGAACGACCCTGACATCTTCAAGGTACTTTTTTAAGATAATAGAGAATCTGCTAAAACCTTGTAAACAAAACGATGAACTGAAAAACATAATCTTAAACTATATATGTACAGATGGTTCAGAACGGGGAAGGAAAGTGTCCAAGGAAGACATTGGCAAACATTGAAGAGAAGACAATCTCAGAGTATGAGAACCCAACCACATCTGAATCCGTTGCGGTGAGTTTCTTTCTTTGTCTATAAAGCTTACTTCTTTACCTCTTCCTCTCTAGATTTTCTGTTTCATTGATTTCAAATCCAATTTTGCAGAAGAACAAACTCGATGCAGAGAATGTTAAGTTCACACCAATGGTTGACAAGACTGTGGATGCTTCTACTTGGCCTACAAAACTCCACAAGACAAACTTTACCGAGCCTGAAGGTAAGATGACACAGAAAAACATTGATCCTTAGTTAAACATAAATTATTCATGTTTTCACGTTTTCAAAACAAGTATGTGTTTTTGTTGCCGACGCAGATCTATACTCTGCCGTGAAGCCATCGGAGAGGAGAGGAGGAGAAGGCTATCTATTCGGTGGCGTTATGTCTCTGGTTATGGGGTTAGTGACAGTGGTGAGGCTGACGAAGAACATGCCGAGGAAGCTCACTGAGGCGGCGATATACGGCGGCGAAGCTGAGAAAGGAGAGAAGGCGATGGTGTCTAGCCAAGACTACATGTCAATGGTGAAGAGAATGGCAGAGCTGGAAGAGAAATGTAGGTTTTTGGACAATCAGCCGGCTGCGTTCTCGCCTGAGAAGGAAGAGATTCTCACCGCCGCTCTTAGCCGTGTCGACGAGCTTGAGATTCAGTTGTCTGAGACCAAGAAGTGACACACTATCAAAAAAAAAAAAAATTGTAGATGGTGATTTCGATACCAGCCGTAAAATGTTTGTGCATGGCCTATGTCGACGTCATGTTCACTTTGTATAGATTCTTATCATGATCTAAAGTTGCTCATGGTTCACCACTTTTCGTTGATTCCTTAAACCTTTACGAGTTACGATATTTAACGATACACAAGAGGATTAGAGACATTAAAGGAGGCAAAGAGGATTAGGCATTTCAATAAAAGAGATTTGTAACTTGCTCAAAACATGGAATCTATAATCTACAAGCCTTCATTAACAGGTACTAAAAAGAAATAGGGTCACAAATCCTATGTTTCTGAAATATGATCATACATGCTGTTTCCAATATTTTTATTCAGCTATAAGTGAAAATATCCGAGTGTATTCGTATGATGTATAATTTGTTGTTCAAAAAACAGAAGCTAACTGAGATTATGTAAACTCTCTTAATAAATCCTATTTTTCTAAAACGGTCCCTCTTGGCTCAGCAATCTTATCAAATTAGAAAGGAAACAACTGAATACAATGGGGACTGAGTCAATCATCAAAAGAGACAAAAAGATGAGCAAAAAAGTGAGATTATGTTGGTCGGCTATATCCACAGGCTAACACAATTATCTAACGAAAGCGATAGGATTAAAATAAACAATGAAAACGCATTTATATATTTGAACCCAAATCATATCAAAACAAAATATTTAAAGAGTAAGATGTCCAACAGGAACAAATTAAGAGTCTGAGCATAGGATCAAGCAAATCAAGTCCATGTGGCTGAAATACGTTCTAAGAGGAGAAATGACATCCTCAGCTTTGTTCAGTATAATCGCCTTTTTGTACACTATTCTTTTATGCATAACCATACGTTAATTTTGTCTAGAATTACATTCATTAACATATAAAAAAGTATGCGTACAGCAAAACCCCTTAAACAAATTATCGAGCTTATCATTAAATTATAGAGTTTGGGTGTTTCTTGGAAGATTCAAAATATGAAAAGATTACAAAGTTTTCTCCTTAACTCTCTTGATCTATTTGTTAACCATATTTCCTAATTTGTAAAATCACATCAAAATGTATTCTTAGTCCAATACTGTATTTCATATATCAAATTCAAATTAACAGATTTAGAATAACAGATTTATAACATTAACCCGCGCGTAGCGCGGGATAGCCCCTAGTTACATTAGTATGGGTTGTCAAAACAAGATTAATGGTTTGTTTGTTTGTTGCTTTTGTGGACAAGTCTCTAAATTTTTTTCTCATCTCCATTTATTATCTCCTCAGACGCAAGGAACAGGTGAGACCAGATGTGGTACCTTATAGAAGATTACAATCTGCATTTAGTAGGACTCCGAGGTTTGTACAGGTCAGTGAGTATCTACAATGAATCTTGAAAATTCCAAGAAACTCTACAACTTTAATCATATACATGGTTTGTTATTTGCTCTGTTTAATCATACATGGTGTTGTACCTTATTTTGTGGGAGTAAGCCACGCTGCAATCCGGTTTCCAGCATATGAAAATATCAAACAATACATGGCGCATGCAGGTAAGCAATATGCATGATCCTCTCGATGTCTTCTTTTGTTTCCATGATCTCACTTTTTGGTCATCCGTGAGCTCAATAAAGCATTAAAAGTGTTATTGAGAATGAAGAAGATTACACTACAATGGAAAACAAAAGACACAAATATAAGTATTTTGCTCACAAAACAGAGAATAAACTTTCAAAATAAGTAACAGAACCAAGGGGATTGGGAGGTATGAAGAGTACATCACAAGACTTGGTATCGAGATCATATATCAGGGCGGCACCATCCGTACCAGGACCTCGAAGCAATAACTTCTTCTTATCCAGAATAGCAACCGGAGGGAGCACGAATCTGGTTTCCCCACGAAACCAAGAAAAAGCGTTGGTGAGATCTATGGAACACAGTTGGTTCCATGTGCCTGAAGAAGAATCGTCCAACCACCATATCACTTGAGTGGTCCGGTGTTTCTGAGATACGCACAAGCGGTTATCAAGAACGCACATGGTGGCGGTGAAACCGTCAGCTGCATGGCGAAAAGGAGCTTTAGTGATGACTTGAAAAGTTTCCGCGTGGAGATCGAAAGATAATACCTCTCCCTCTGTTGTTAACCAATAGAGCGACCCATCGAAATGCACGGGAAACTGCAAAGTAAGAATCCGACAAGGAGAAGCAGGAACAACATACCTCCAAGCCCTAGTGCTAAAATTGAAAACTTCGCAAGTGGTAACATTGCCAAGCCCATATTCGGCTGAATTGTATAACCAAACCGCCTTGTACGTGCCCGTGAGTTTGTCCTTACCGAACCCTAGCTCAGGAGGTGCGGTTCGGGCAGACTGGTTTTTCTTCCACAGGTCGACGAAAAAGTGTTGGATGGTGGATAGAGGAAAACTTTGATGCCATCCAGTGGCGGGATTCACCAAGAGATTGGGTTTGCCCGGTTCGTAGACATCGTAGAGGCACACAAGACCGTCACAGATAGAGTTGCAGATTGAGGCGGCTGTCTTTGGGAGCGTGACCGTATAAGCTGAGGATGAACCAAACGTGCATCTTTGAGAATCATCACCATCAACAAGACAAGGATCATCAAGACGCACGAAAAGAACATCCGGACCTCGAGATAGCCTACGACAGAGAGATTGTCTTTCTTTGAAGCTTTGGGAGTTGATTGTGGATCTCCACTGCTTCGATACAGACTTGAAACTCTGCAGAGACTTCACAGGAAGCCTCTCCAGGATTAGCTCTACCACATCGTGGGGCAGCCCCGGTTCATGTCTTGTCAACTTCATTATCGCATATAAATTGATCAAGAGAGACGACGGAGGACTATATTTATACACAAAAGTCAAAACTTCTTTATCCGACTGGAACTAGGAACGGAAAAAAAAAGGAAAATTTCCCGTCTGTGTTCAGAAGTTAGGGTTTGCTTGCGTTTCAAGTTTTCTATGTTTTTTCCTTTTTTCTCAAAATTTAACAAAGTCTCTTGATAATCAAAATTTCACAGAGAATGTAGTCCATAGATGGTCAAAAGTTTCTCAGAAACTAGAACTAATCGAATACAAAACCATTGGTACGATTTTCTTCTTTTTATTTAAACTCTTTCTTGCGGAAGAAGAAAGCTCTGATTAGTGAAATCAGAAACAATAATGTTACAGGTGAAAACTCGTTTCAAGACGGTTAGCAGACAGATTAAGGACGTCTAAAGAACTAGTGAATGATTTAAAACGGATTGGTGAGCTCGGAGATGGTCACAAGACAGCAAGCAATCTCTGCAACCCACGTCACTTTGCATGCAAGCTTGGTTTTATTGTTATAAAAAATCTGCAGTAATTTCTTATCAATTGTTGTGAAGGTTAATAAGAAAAAAAGGAGGCAAAGGTAGTTTTCTTGTTTATTTATTTAATAATATAATTGTTTTTTAACTAGAAAATATCTCACAAATAATTCAAAGGAGGCAAAGCTAACTTCCCTTTAGTTTACTTTAAAGAGTTAAAGAGATTCAATTCAAGTCCCAATGGTGTGTATTCAGTGTCATTAGAGTTCTCTTCATGTATTTCCTTATCACGATCATATATCACGACCTCGAAGCAATAACTTACTCTTATCCATAATAGCAAATTAAGGGTCAAGTTTCTCTCTGTTGAAGTTAGTGAAAAATTTATGACCAGAGACTTACTTCGACGCTACATTAACGTGAGATTCTGCTGTAACTAACTAAGATCGTATGTGAATTATAAAGAGTTAATTAAGAAGCCAGTTATGGTAAATAAATAAATGTAACAATGAGACACTCATGGTTATATGTTGAAATCATTCTGAAAAGAAGTATGGGTAGTGAAAGTTGATTGCTGATGTATGTGTTCGCTGTTGACTGTTGACTAAAGTGGGACAAACACCATTTTCATGTTTCTGGAGTTTGGTTTTAACGTGGCACATAAGTAAAAGGTCTCAAACGCAACTATGGAATACACTTCACTTCTGGTCGGCTCCATTTCCCCACACTAACCGCAGCAAAGTTATAAATTCTAATTTGTTTGTCAATGGAAAATACAATGATTATATGTTGACAATCAAATTACTATTTTAGTTTATCTTTGGAGAAAACGCTATGTCTTATATAACTAGATTAACATATTCACATTCGCTTCTTTTGTACTTTATAAAGATTCTGTAAAGAAAAGAATAATGAGAAAGCTACAACCACATGGACACACCACATGAGTGACAACTATGAAGCAATTTCAAATTACGTCACGGAATCAAAACAACAAAATAGAAATGCATAGTTTAGAGATTGATATGTAACTAAATGTTAATACAAATTAAACAAATTCAATTGTCGTAAAAGAAAAAAAGAGAAACCCTAATCTAGTTTAACCTAGACATTGGCGGTTGAAGCGATGGAGGAACCGCAGACGCAGACGCAGCCACACGTGCCTGGCGTTCCACATTCCCATGCCACCCAATAGACAAGTCCAATGCACTCTTGTGTTGAAGTTGCCTATACTCTTGACAAAGAGCGCACGGCTCGCAGCAAAAGTGGACGCAACAATCACAACAAGGTCTCTCCTTGAGATTGTACTGTGCTCGGAGTTTGGTTCGGTAAAAGCAAGAGTAGAGACTACTCCCTCCGTATCCAGTCAACATGAAGATGATCATGTACATGGCTCCACTCACACCACAAGACGTTGATCCTCTGTCTACAACCTCCGCGATGCGTCCAAAGGCAACGCACGGACACCAACAAGTCAAGCAGCATGAGTTTATGTCCGTCCAACACTCGCATAGATCCGTCGACCAACCGTTGGCCTTGCCACGGCCAGGGACTTGTGTCTCGTTGGAAGAAGGGTTCATGGTTTCGTTTGTTGAAGAAAATGATGATTGGTTTCTTGTGATTATTCTTTTTCATTTATTTATAATTTCAATTGTGTTAACCGTTGGCAACTGCTACCGGAAGCACGTAGAGACGTTTCGTTTATTTTATTTTTCCTTTTTTAATTCCAATTATCTTTCGCTGTGTTGTGAAATTTTTTATAAACTCGGCCCAATAAATAATGGGCCAAGTCAACAAAGCCCATTTAGTTTCATAACAATGGTCAAACTACTTTGGAGCTCTCCTCCACCCAAAATTTTCCACCATATCTTTTTCTTATCCATTCTCATAAAATCTCCATTGCTCTCTCTCTGAAGAAACACAAGAAAATGATGTCATCAATGGCACTTCACTCATCTCTCTCAACTGCTTCCCTCTGCTCTTCCTTCATCACTCAACATCCAAAACTCTCCATCACTTCTTCTCCATCGTTCCTTAACCAAACCACCAAACCCATCTCTCTAAACCGGAAAATCGTCGCTCTTGCAGCTCCAGAGACACTCACTACCGAACCAGTCACCGGAATTGATGTTTCCGACACACCACAACCAACAAAGGTAAATAAAAACAACAACAACACTCTCTTCTTCTTCTTCTTCTTCTCTGTTCTGTTTTCAGTTAAAACAAACCAACAAATGCCAAAATCTTTACTTGTGTTTACTAGGTGGTGAAGCAGCAAGAAGAGAAGGCAAGAGTGGTTCTCAAGTTTGTGTGGATGGAGAAGAATATAGGATTAGGATTGGACCAGCATGTCCCTGGACATGGAACAATCCCACTCAGTCCTTACTTCTTCTGGCCAAGGAAAGATGCTTGGGAAGAGCTCAAGTCTACTCTGGAAGCTAAACCATGGATCTCTCAGAAGAAGATGATCATTCTCCTTAATCAAGCCACTGACATTATCAATCTCTGGCAACAAAGTGGCGGCAATTTAACTTCTCAATAATCTCTCTCTTTTTGCTTTCTTTCTGCAATTCAAGAATTCACTTTTTCCATTGTCTAATGAGATTTTGATATCGAGAGAACGTTACATTGTTACAATCATATCTAAAAACCAAACATTTATTCCAAAGATGATAATAAAACAAAAATCAAGCTACATTGAGTTGTTGTTTCCTTGAGGAAGGAGATAGCATTCGCTTGATGGTGGAGAATTTGCAGAGAAGACTTTCTCCATATGACTTTGAGACTCTCCGGTCTCCGGAATATGTACACGTCAGCGTCACTTTCTTCTCCAATACACTCACTAATATTGAATATGTTTCTGCTTCCAAATAAAACAGAGGAATCAAGAAACAATATGTTATGACTCATGAGAGAAAGAACCAAAACGTGAAGTAAATCTTACCGATCATCCTTGACATTATGTCGGCGATTTTCTCTTGGCAGTCACTACATCTGATGTCTGCTGATAGAACAATCTCTTGAATCTGATAACAGATAAGATCATTAACCAAAGAGTCGAATCATTCTAAGACAAAAGTGTTGAAAGAGTAAGACTACGAACAAGAGGCATGGATAGCGATGCTACAGAAGCGAGACTGCTTTCACTTGTGATTGAAAGCTTGCTTCTTGGTGATGCTCCAGTCTCTTGCTCAACGAATTCACAGAGAGAAGCCATGACAGTGTCTCGTTGTGTACAAGAAAGACAAAAAAAACAGGAGTGAAGAAATCCTACACAAAACCACCAAACCAAACCAAGAGTGGGAAAAGAAGAGTGTCGCAATCAGAAAAGGATGAGCTAGCAAATCTTCTTAAGTGGATGACAGAGGAAGCCCATCTTTTCTTTTGCTTCACTCTATGGAGAAAATCAAGTTTATAGAGACATAAGAGGACATGTTAACACACAAGTCACAAGACAGACATATACTACTATGCTTTGGATCCTTGACTTAAGTGTACATGTATTTATGAGTGAGAAAGTCTAAGACTTTTTTGGCTCCTCTTTGTTCCTGGTCTTTTTTCCCTCTGCATAGTTAGAAAAAGATGCTTCACTCACCAAAATGCAAACCCCACCAAAACCATTTAAGTGGAAGATTGCTTTTGAGTTCTGACCAAGTCTCAACAAATTTATATAAACTCTTTACCTTTGTTTTGTTTTGTTTCCTTACCCCACTTTAGTAAGCCAATCATAGATCTCACAAAAGGGATATTAGGTACAAAGTTAAAAAGAAGGTTTAAGATAAGACACTCAGCTTTTCACTAGTGGTTTATAACAGTGTTGCAAACTGTAAAAAAACTCTCAGTGAGTCACAAAACTTATTGGGTTCCCTTATAATGGTCCCAAATTCCAAAAAAGAAAAACATCAATTGTTACCAGCTACAAAGTTCAAAAGTTGCAACTCACAACCATTTCATTTGTTGGTCCCGTTTATCTGCTGCACAAAATAAGAACCATTTTTTTTTTTTTTTTTTTTTTTTTATTTTTTTTTTTTTTTTTTTTATTTATTTTTTTTTTTTTTTTTTATTTTATTTTTTATAATGGTCCCAAATTCCAAAAAAGAAAAACATCAATTGTTACCAGCTACAAAGTTCAAAAGTTGCAACTCACAACCATTTCATTTGTTGGTCCCGTTTATCTGCTGCACAAAATAAGAACCTTATGGGGACACTGACAAGGACTTTAGTTACGTACCATCAACATAATCATGTGTCCTTACACTCAAAGAAATCAAATCAAATCAAATTCACAAACCAATGCTTCAAACTTCAAAGTAACAGCCTTTAAACATCAACATATGAGCCATACATCAACACAGGTAAGAAAAGAGTAGTAGATTATATGAACACTCGAGGTGAAACTCGAGGCAGAAAAAAGATTAGTTTTATTTAATGATACATAGGTTTACATGAAAAGAAAGATCCCACCACACCATAAACGAAAACGAAAACAAATCAAATCTCTATGCTAAAGAGAGAGACGATGAAGATAACTTAAAAAAAAAAACTAAAAACCCTAGCGAGGTAATGCTATTACCTACTTTTTCTACTGCATCCAAAACTTGCTGCATGTATTGAAAGCTCTAAGCCTAACTATACGTACACAAACGAATTTGGATGCCATTTGAGAGCTAAATCTCTAATCCCAAAAACAAATCTTCTAAAACCCAAAAATCGCATTAAGCAGATGCTCATCAGGCAATATGTACCTCACAAGTCGTCCGTCTCCAAGCAGAATGATGATGATCATCTTGACATTAATAGGCCAGTCAAAGGCTTCCCAACAGAAGAGCTGAAAACAGAATCTCCCATGAACTTGCTCTTTTCACAATCCAATGACCTTTCACGTGAGAAACCATCATCAGTCAAGCTAGGATTGTGCGGACAGCAACTCACGATTCGATTACGCTTCCTTCGTCCAACAACAACCGAGGAGCTGTACAGAGAACCTCCCATTGAAATGCACTTCTCACAATCCGAGGATCTTTCACATGAGCCGCCATTACTCGAGCTAGGGTCGTGCGGACAGACGCTGACAGTTCGATTCCGCTTCTTCTTCTTCGATGCGTTCCACTTTAAACCAGAGACTAAGACGTCTTTCAGAAGATCTGGAACTGGTTGCTTAGTAGATGCCTTGTCTGTTGTAGCTACTGGAAGAGAGATGGTGAGGTTAGCTTCACCCTTTGGTGACATCACAGCATTAGCAACAGCAGCTTCAGGTAGCTTCTCATCATGTTTCACCTCAGCCTCTTTCTTCTCCATCAACGATAGAACAGAGCTAACGAGATCAGATCTTGATTCTATGGGTACCCACTCATCTGCAGACCAATCCAGAGATCGTCTGAGGTCCCTACGATGGAAGGCAGACATTTTCTTTTCACCTGAGAGAAAACAACCAAAACAACAACAGTTAGTCCCACAAAATGATATATATCTTCAACAAATCTGCAGTCATACTACTATTAAGCTCACCTGGCAAGTAAACTTCAAATTTCTCTTCTGAAACTTTCTGCGTCACAATCCCTTCCCACCATCCATCACACCACCACACATCCACAGGCATACCAACACCAACAGCCGATACATCGTTTTCTTTGCTAGGCTCCAGAACTGGACGTACTATGTTTCGTCCTGGGATTCTAAGACCCAAATGATCACTAGCAGCAACCTGAGATGTTAAAATCCACTCCTGCAACCAAAAAAGAAAACATTTTAAAACAGTGGACAGTAGAAAACTACGCCAAAAGATGGGTTTGAGTTTCCAAATGTGTACCTCTAGCTTTTTAGATTCATCAACTGCATCCTTAATGTCTTGGTACTGGACCTTAACCTTGTCTTTGTGCTTCTTTATTATCAATGCCTTAAACCAACAGCCTCTGATGCCGCTATCTTGAGAGAGAACTTCAACAATTGAACCCTTTTTAATGTAATGGGAAGCATCATCTTTTGCGCCTTTGCACGTAGAAGCATCTGAAGCCCCCAACTCAACAGAATTTGGGCTAGCTTTGAAGTCACCTTTCACGTCATCTGCCGAACGACGCCGTTTCCTCGATCTAACCCCAACACAACCAGCAAGAGAAGCTCCTGTTCCTAGGTCAGTACCAAGTGCCTGGGCACCCTCCCCTGACTTTGCAACGGATACATTCAAGTATCTAAGCATTTCTTGTCTCGAGTAACCTTCTAACTGTGTGATGTCATACGGCTTCATGCCATCATCTCCGTATAATTTCTGGCAGAAGAAAGCTACTGGCTGAACATGCATTGGCACCTTGAGAAATTTCTCATGGTGCTGAGGACTGAGGACAGTAGCCAATCCATCAATGCACTCGATGTTGATATCTTGAAGACTATGAGAAAAGAAAATCTCTCTGTCATTGACATCATCGGGCAAATAAATTCCAACTTCATCAGTTTTGTGAAACCATCGTACCACGACCATCTTGCTGCCTTTAGAATCCTCATAAAGGTCTTCCAAGTATGCAACAAGTCTCTTATGTTGCTCCGCTAAAACATACACAAAATCGTTCACCTGCAAATAGATTGTGGAAAAAAGAAAGGTAAGTTAAAAAGTACCAGAATATAAATTACAGACCAATCGAACTTCAACAAAACCATCTAAATAAACTCACCGAGACAATGATACCGTTCCGGGAAAAAGATGGATAATGCTTACGCCGTTTCCTGCAAGTTGAAGCAGAACCGATCCAGGAGAATTTGATGGCCTGATGAATAGGCTTTTGATATTGACCATTCTGAAAATACACAAAAAGAGAAACCGATTAATATTTTGACTCTCTAATAAGCAACACCCTCTGTACATGAGGGAGGAAAAGAAAACCTTTTGGGCGTTGATTAAAGCAGTACCATTAGAGCGCCAATATTCAATCCTCCAGCAGCTTGTTCAGTCATATTAGTAGCTGGCACATCTGCTACGTGCGGTATCTCACCTAAAAATTTGAAGAAAGCATACACAAAAAGATCAGCAACATATATAAATAAATGTTACTCTCTCGTTGCAAAATACAAAAACTTGGAAAAATTATCAATTCGTGCAGACATGCTCAGTTACCAAAACGTGGAAACCGGATCTGTTCTGCAGCAAAACTAAGTCATTAACAGATTTAGCTGCAAAAGGCGCAACGGAAGGAGGTAAGCGCTCTAACACAAAGATCAATATTTCAATTTATTAGCTTTTCAAATTTTCATGTAATCCAGCAACAGGCATCACTAACATATCCTGCAAATAACCAGATAAGCATCTCAATAACCCTATGCAAGCTAGTACAGGATATTAAGATCATTCAATTGAATCTATCTGGAAAAACTCATGAGCATCAATGAAAAAATCTGAGACTCAATTATATACATTAGCTTCCTGAATCTATCACACCTCCGATCTAGTGGTTATAGGAACAAAAGAAAGGAGAAAAAAACTCAGCTTTCACCCTCTAGCGACTTCGCAAGTGATGATGTTATATACCCAGAAAATCACATTATCAAAGGAAATTAAAGGGTTGTGAAAACCGTAATCAAACTTTCAAATTCGCGATGGACAAAAGTCAAAATTCTTCAGCAATTTCAGAAATCGAAGCGAGGGCAATAAAATCTCATTGGAGCTCTTACGATTCCAGATCTGAACTTTATCCCCTTCCAATTCAAAATCCGGCTAAAGAAGAAAACAGGACACACCCAATAAAAAACGGAGAAAGGGACACAGAAAGGAGAAGAAAATCGATATAGAGATTGAAGAAATTTACCGGAAACAATGGAATTGAGCCAATCCGCAACGTCTTCTACAGAGTCAAGCTTCTTCAAAACGGAGCGATTCTTCTTCAAAGCGTAACGAAAGGACATGCTTTTAGAATTCTTCACCCTCCCAACAACAGCCAGATCCGCACATCCGTCTTTCCTCTCGAGATAATAATGAACCTCCATCTTCCCTCTCGCGTTCTTCACATGCAGCTCATTCCAGCCGCAATACGACGGCGTCTCCGTTGACCACGCCATATCATCCACCACGGCGAGCCAATTGCCAAAACAACCTCCCACTCTATAACCTAATTGCTCCTCTCTCTCTCTCTATCCTCTCCGCTTTGGTTTCGCTTTCTCTCTCTCGCGACGTGAAATCAAATCAGAAAAAAGGAAGAAGAAGGCGGAATTTGAATAATATAAAAAACCGGGGAGGAGCTAGCTAGGGTTTCAATTTGGGGATAAGATTAAGGGTAGTGATTGGCTCCACGTAGAGCGTGCGTTTTAATTACGGTATTATCCTCTAAAATTTAAGGAAATGACGAGATTGCCCTTAAGAGGGATTATTCTTTTTTTTCTCTTTCCTCCGTCACGATAAGGAGGCCCGTTTGGAATTTTAAAATAACGGAAAAGGACAAAAGACAAGTTGTGTAATAGAGATGAAGCGCGTGATTTCCGGGAAAGAGAAGACTCGCTCTATTTATTTGACAGCTGTGTCTGTCACGTCTTTTTTTTGTTTTTCTTTCTCTTTTTAGATATTTTTCTGTTTAAAATTTATTTTAACTTTGGATCTTGAATAGCATACAAAATACTGAAATAACATTGTCAAACAAAGAAAAACGAATACGGAAAATATCACATGACAGGAAATATAAGGAAACTTGTATATTCTTATCTTTTGACTTTGATCGATAGATAACACTTTTATGGAAACATTCAGATTTACTTCAAAATCATGAATTAAAAAAATTGTTAAATCGATCAATGATATGTTTTTTATCAAGCAGTAATGTGTTGGTGTCATCATTTGAGGATAATTTGCAGTGAAAAAAGTTTAATTTTGGACGGATCCAGTGTGGACTTTTTAGCTTTGACTAATGTAATTCAATGCATTTTAAAACACAAACAACATGGTAGTTTTTTATGATAGTAGTTTTGGCCTCAAAACTTAAGTGAAACGAAGATTTGAGGCTTGGTGATGCTGCTCCATATGTTCTATGTGCGAAAGACTCAATATAGTACAAAAATGATTTCATGAGGAATTTCATCGCATCTTCAGTGATATCATGATACGTTTTTTAGCTTGTTTGATCGATTGATTCTTAGTTTTGTCTCCCCACGAGGCCAAGTTGTTGGCTGACAAATCGCTTGCCCTACTACCAGACTCTGTGCATGGGGTCTTGATGTCTCACCTCTCTGGCTATTCTGTGACCACACGTCCACACCCATGAAACAAGACACCATGATCACCATCTGTTTGTCTAGATTTGAGGCTGAATCACATTAAATCTTCGGCTTAAACCTCCTACAATATTCTCGAACATCATAATTTACTAAACTGAACAAAAGAAACATCAAGATCTAAATACCATGTAGTTTTGTGTCGAATTTGTATAGACGTGATTATAAACTTGGTGAAATATTTTAAGGGTGGTGAGAGTTATAATTGATTTTTTTTTTTTATAGTTGGTTCCAACTTTGTATCTTATTAATATAAAGCTGGATGCGCGTGACGTGGTTGCGACACGTAGGATTTTTATAAAATTTAGGATTGCGACATGTGTCACTTTTAATGTTATGTCCGTTAAGATCGTGACATGTGTCTTAGAAAAAAAGAAAAAAATAATAATTAAAAAAATTAGATAAAGGAAAAAAAACGAAATTTTAATCTTTTATAGTTAAAAGAAAAAAAAATTATATTTGTCATATCCTAATAGAAAAAGGTTTCTCATTCATCAAATTTATATTATCCAAACACATATAAGATTCAAATTAATGAAATAAATAAAATCCTATTAGTACATGAAATAGGTTAGGTTTAGTTAATCTTTTATAGTTAAAAGAAAAAAAAATTATATTTGTCATATCCTAATAGAAAAAGGTTTCTCATTCATCAAATTTATATTATCCAAACACATATAAGATTCAAATTAATGAAATAAATAAAATCCTATTAGTACATGAAATAGGTTAGGTAAACTAAATTTCCTATAACTGCATGGAATAAGTTACATGAACCCCTATAAAAAGAGAGTTAAAGTAGTCTTTTTTTTCTCATTCACAAACTCATCAAAGCAAACAACATGATAGCAATACGTATGATTTTTATAACTCACAAAATTGCGATATGTGTAATAAAATAATGATAATAAAAAACTAACTAATAATGAAAATGAAAATTTATAATGGTCTGAGTCAAAAACAAAATTGAGAAAGAAACAATATAAATAGAAAACTAACAAATTAATTATCAAGCAACTAACTAATATTAAGAAAATATAATGAACCGATATTCTAATTTTAAATAGTTTAATATATTTTCAATATTGTTAAGGTAAAAAATTTTCAAATAGGTAAATAAAGATTTCATCAATTGAAATCTCTTGAATGGAATAATAAAGTTTTGTTGAATTAATTAATCAGTTGATCATATTTAGACATATATAAGTCTTTCTATATTGGATAAAAATAAAAATAAAACAAATTAATTCATTTTTATATCATGAATTCAAAAAAATATCAATTACAATAAAAACGTAAAAAGGTTACCGATCTTATTTTATTTAAATATTTTTATCGGGTTTTTAATATTATTCTGTTTACTTTAAAATGATCAAATTTGGTTTAATACTTTTCCATGATTTTATTACAAAATCTTAAAATAAACCCGCGTATACGCGGGTCTTAATCTAATAGTTATTAATCTAATAGTTAATAAGTGACAACAAACTTTGGGTGGGTTTATAGACAGTCACCTTTTTACATTAGGTAATTTAGATCTAACCTATAATTAATATTTTCATAATTTCTTAGGAAGTGATGATGAACAAACACCTTGATCACCAGACCAGAACCTTCAAGTACTATATGAGCCCAAATTATGCAATAATTTACACATGTTAAATATATTATTATAGATAGATCCTTAATACGCATTTGCGGTTGGTGCAAAACTGCAACTCCATTGGCCTCAAGACAGAGCTCATTGGCCAGGTAACAATCTGAATCTAAGAAAGACAAATCTTCCAGGTAACAATCATTGGCCTCAAGACAGAGCTCCAATTTTAAAATTCCAAAGAACTAACCTTTCTTGTTACAAAACTGTTACCAATCCAGTTTGATGTTCCTATCAATGTAAAGCTTATCAATATATTCTATGATCGGCATCGACGCTTCCATGTACCTCTTCATGTTCTTCTCCACAGATTGATCTTCAAACCCATCAAAACAAACAACAAATTAAAAAAAAAAATCAAGATCACATTGACCAAAAACAAGCATATCAAAACTCGACTAATACATAACCTCACCTGTTTCGTTGAGCCGTAACAGAAGTTGTTCCCTGGTCGGAAGCGTATACATTCCGGCGTAAACCGCGGTCCTCACAGCCCATGAATGAAACGGCGCACACACTTGTGTGTAAGCTTTTGTCGCAGCGTCTTTCAAAGAGTAACACTCATCCGTCAACAAGAACTGTTCGAAGATGGCTCGTATCAGATCTAAACCTAGTCTAACGCGTCGGAGATTCCTCGAATTGCTTCCTTGCGTTTTCACCGTTTCCTTCTCCACATCAAGATCCAAAATGTTCTCTAACGTATCGAACGTTTTCGACGCCTCCTCCAAATCCCTAACCTAATTAATTTTCAACAAAAATTATCAAGATCTAGATCGCATCCATCACACTTCCGATATGAGAGGAAAATTAGGGTTTTGTACCTTGGAGAGGTACTCCATCTCTGCGAATTTGAAGGCGAATCCGAGACAATTGAAGAGAACAGAGACGTGAGTACACGCACTGCAAAACGCATCGAGTCTCAATCCATCGATTGATTCGTCGTCTTCATCGCCGATCGGTTTTAGCAAATCGGCGAGATCCTCGAAGGCCTCTGTGATAATCAACAAAGGCTTGTTGTTGTTGACTCTGGTTTCGTCTTCGATCATGTCTTCTTCTTCCATTTACTTTTTCTTTTCTCCTACTCTATGTATTATATAGCTTCGCCGCCACGTTTGCAGAAATGTTGAGAAGTCTCTCTTGATCATGATGTGTCGGAGAAGAAAGTAAAACCGTGTTCTGTAAGAAGAGCAACGATTTGACTTGCGTTATGTTTGGAAACGTGACTTTTCGCAACACGTTTCCTTCATCTCCACGTTCCGTGTTTCACTATCAATCTACTCAATTTAGGCCCATTTATATTTTACTTCAGCCCAAATTGGCCCAATCAACTTAAAATGCATCTTTAACCCGGTTCGAACCGGTTTAGGTGTTTTGGTTGAAATCTTTTGGAGATAGTCATTCTTTCTATTTTTATTGATTTGATAAATACATTACTACAAGTGATTTTACATTACACATACTCCAACGCTCATGCATTAACCAAACCCCTATTAGACAACTGCAATTCATCTTTAACCGGACTATTGACGTCCTTGCTATGATGCACCTGAACCGGTTTATACGTGTAAATCTTGGCGCACCATAGATAATACACGAAATTAACCACCTGTAACACCGTGATTAACCAGTAGAAATACTCAATCTTCCCCCGGTTCAAATTGTTATCCGGTAACCAATTGCTCCCATCCGGTTTAGCGCTGAATTTATGAACCAGCGTCACGAGCAGAGTGCTCGTGTAGTTTCCGATCGAGATCGCCATCCAGAAAAGCGCCATCGCCGTGCTCCTCATACTCTCCGGCGCCTGATCGTAGAAAAACTCCATGTGTCCGATCGACATGAAAGCCTCGGCGATCCCGTGGAGGCTGTACTGAGGAACCAGCCAGAGGAACGAGATCGGAACCATCGTGTGAGGTTTATCGAGAAGCCCGTGCTCGATCGCGACGCGTTTCCGCTTGATCTCGACGAATCCGGCGACGAGCGTCGCGAGGATCGAGATCACGAATCCGATCCCCATCCGCGTGAGGAATGTGATGCCTCGCTCGAGGCCGGTGTATCTCCGGGCGAATTTGACGAGGACGCGATCGTACAAGACGATTGTGGAGAGCATTGCGACGGTGGTGAAGACGGACATTGAACCGGCCGGTATTTGGAATGATTCGGTTAAGTGCCGGTTCATGGTTCTGGCTTGTTGGAGAGAGAAAGTTCCTTGTTGAGCATAGGCTGTGATTAGGAGGATCCCGGATGCTCCGATTGGACCCATTCGGATAACCGCTTTGAGTTCTTCGACCCGGTGGACTGTGTTTAGCCTCCATGGGTTTGGTATTTGACCCGGTTTCAAATCGTCTTGCTCCGTCACTATCGCTGCCTTGTCCAAGAAGCTACAGTAATTAAGAGCAAAGTTTAATTAACAACATGCATTATATCGCAATTTATTAAATAGTTAATAATAAGAAAAAAAAAATGAAATGATTTTTAGGTCGGCAATAATCAACAATTACTACTAATAATCTAGATATTACTATTTTCGAAATGGGTCCAATAGTCGAATTATTGGTGCATGTATATGCCAAAAAAAATAACAAAAATGACAACGTTGATGTGTTGTCTTGGCGCGAAGAGAGCTTACGTCTTGTTGCTTTTGGAATCACCGATTACTCTTTTTTTTTTCTTTTTGGAATTACAAATTTACAATTATGATGTATGTATGATTTTGGATGTATTTTATGTGTTTTACTTTTAATTTGTCTTGTTTCACCCAGTGGACAAGTTGTTGTACGATTACTCAATTGTTTTACGTTACTATATTGATTTACTCTTCCAGGTCGTACTTGATAGAATCATAGATACAGTATATCATTTTTTAGTTCTAGATTCAGATTCTACTACGAGTTCTCGTGACGATCAGGATATACAGAATCAATCAATTACATAATCTTAAAATTAAACCAATTAGGTATCCATAGCTTGGTAGTTGATATTATTATATTTTCTAACTAACAAATAATATAACACTTTACTATTGACCCAATTGGAAACATCATATAGTAGTTATTTTGTATATAATTTGTCTTTCGTCATTTTAGCTCGTATATTAGCTCTTTGTGTTAAAGTAGTATTTCCAAATTTCAATATTTAAACTTTGATTTCCCTAAGTTATCGTAGTGTGGATGTTGCTAATATAACAACACACCATTCGTTTCAATATATTCCAAACATATGATGAAATAAATAGAATTATTGTTACCTCATGTGTTTGGTGTGTGTTAGTTGACCATCTAAGGAGATAGGAGCATCAATCTCATTGTTGAAATAGAGAAGACTAGGATCAGAAACCATCTTCAATTTCCTTTTGCGAAACGATGCCACTGCCACTTGGATCAATCGGGTGAACGGACTACCGGATGGATCCAAGTGACGGTAAAGCCGGTAACCGCCGACAAAAGCAATAACGGATAAGAACATAGCCACTGTCGGGATGCCTAAACCTAGACCCCACCCAACGTTATCTTGGATGTACACAAGAATAGTCACCGCCATTAAAATCGCTGCACCCATTATAAAGTAGTACCTGAATATAATTCAAAAACCCATCAACAAAATTGCATTATTTGTGGTTATAGTTACTTCAAAGATAATTGGAAACAAAAGGGGTTTCTAGTTCCATCAGACACATGCTCACAAATCACAAACGAGCTTTACCTTTACTTTATTTTAATTTAGATGGTTGGTAGTGGTATAATAATTATTTTTCATTTACAAAACTAGAACATACTTGTTCTTTTTTTTTACGGGCTATAAGAATAATTAACAACGCACACTTGCACATAAATAGTGACCTTAAGACGTCTAGATATAAAAGGCTTAATAGCTATAAGCTGCATATTTTGGTTTTATTCTTTTCTTTATAGTTGTATTTATAAGACATGTTAGCTATATATGTAGTCTTAGGGTTCAGACAAATTAGAGTATAATATATATTTTTCAAACATGTTAGGTAATCATCCTAGTATTATTTCAATGATTTATAATCTCTACGACCAATTTCAACATAAGGAATCTCATTAATAATTGATATATTTAATCTATATATGAAGAAAGGTATAAATAATTGTTTTTAAGAAGTATACCAGTTGAAGTAGTTCCATGGTTTGGTGGTTTGCTCAGGATCCGACTCGTCGAACTGATCCGCACCGAAAGCAACAACACAAGGTCGGATCCCACCCGACCCGACAGCTCCAAGAAGAAGAGCTATGTACAAAATACTCAACTGTGCTGTGTCTGCTACTACACAAACTTCTTCTCCTTTACATGGTGGTGGCCTTAACGTCGGTATTATTGCCGATATCGTCAAAAGTGTCATCCCCTGATTTTTTACAATCTCGTTAGAACAAGAAGATCAAGAAATTGAAAATTTGACTAAAATCTTGTCAAGAAAAACTAAACTTTAGTCTTACTTATTACAGTGGTCTTACTTATTACAGTGGTTCAAAATTGAAAAAAAAACAAAGTTGTGTATAAACTTACGAATTGGTAGACGATGGAAGCAAAAGTGATGGTCCAGAAGCGGCCGGCGAAGGAGTCGGCGATAAAGGCACCGAGGAGAGGAGTGAGACTCGAAGTTCCGGCGAAGTTAGTGAGAGTGTTGGCTGCTTTGGTTAACGGAAGGTGAAGCTGTGTTGTTAGATAGCTTATCATGTTTGCGTGAAACCCAACCACCGCTAGTTTCTCACATATCTCGTTCGCTGATAATTAATAATCCAACAAAATATCAGTTTCATATTTATTCAAAAAACAAAAAATGATAATCATATATAGCGAATGTTTTTATAGATTCCCATACCGAAGATGAAGGGCATAGTAATCAATCCTCCTTTTTTACGACTTGGCTTTCCATGAAGCTGTTTTTCTTCTTCGCTGATCTTGTTCTTGCTCTGCTCTTCCATGTTTCTTGAAGTGTTTGCTTTGTAATGATTAGTTAATTATGTGTTTTTGTTTGCTGTAACTTGTAAGTAAGCGATGAAAATGGTGTTAAACCAAGGAGGGTTATTTATAGGCCATTTTTGGTGTAAAAATTATTGGGTTGCTTTATAGTGGCGCTGGTGTCCGTACAAGATCCATAAAGGAACACGACAGTGACGTCTACTGAATCACAGCCACGAACTAAACCAGATTTGGTTTACGTGGACCGGATTCAGTTTCTGGATTCCGGTTCATTCTTTATTAATATCTTCTGAGTTGATAATTTGTATTGTGAAGATGATGGGACAATGCTTGAATGCTTTAACCGTCACTCATTATAGTACTATTTATTTTATTTTTTATTTTTTTGGATTACATTTGTAGTACTAGTTTCACAATTTACCATTTCGTTTAACTTTAATAATAAAAGAACTTTATTTTCCAATCTATACCATTTTATTTGTAGTGTTTATCAAACTGTCTTTCATGACAAATCGTTAACAGAAAATACAAAGTTTTGAGGTGCATGCATCATGTGATGGTAAATGTACAAGCTATAAAACCGTTGTTTACTAGTTGTTGGACAAGCTTTGTTGTGTGGGCTATTTGCAGATGTACAAGCTATAAAACCGTTGTTTTTTTTCGTGTGATGATCTACTGATTTTATAGTATATATATACAAATTAGAACGCCATCAAATTTGAATGATGAGAAATTTTGTATTGCATAATTATATGTTAACTTATGTGATAACTAATAACGAGTGGATTGACTTAACAGTTGAAAATAAGTGAATTGTTTTTTGTACCCTTCATATATCAATCACTTTCAGGTCCTATCTCACTTCTCTTTTTTTTTTTTTTTGTGCAAAGGTCCTATCTCACTTCTCATATGAGATATTTTCTATACGTTCTTTCGAAATGATGACTGTTCTAAGCATTCATATCGATGAAATATCATTACAAGCAAACATATTGGACTAATATTTAGATTGGTTCGAATTCAGTTCGGATTAGGACATCATGCATTAAGACTCTAATATCTTGTTAACTTTCATGAGTTTTAAACTTAATAAAGCCAAACGATAATGAATACATTGGTC